ATAAGCTCTAAGAATAAGCTCTAAGAATAAGTTCTAAGAATAAGTTCTAAGAATAAGTTCTAAGAATAAGAAAATGCTAGAAATAAATGCTACTAGTGCAAAGGAAAAGTTACACAATAAATTGGATCTATAAAGTTCTATATGGAAATGAAGCCTTTTATTGAAGCCATGAAGCCAATAGATAAGCTCTTTTCAAAGGCCTAAAAGTCTTAAAAACAAAAACCAAGCAACTTTGCATTTAAAGTCTAATTCCAATTCAAGTCCAACTTTTTTCATGAAATAAACATACATTTGGCAACACTTACTAACGTAAAAACTCTAGTAAAACAGCCCGGTCGCATCGCGTCACATAGGCCAAGTTTACTCTCAAACAAACGCTCATATCTCGACACCAGTACGTTTGTTTCTACGCGTTTAAATATCAAATTAAAGTAGAGAGAATGGGTGTTTTTTTAATATACAACACTTATTTTTAGCATTAACCAGCGCTTCGAAAAAAAAGATTGAAAATCGGCTTTTTTTGGCACTTTTCAGTCATTTTTTCTAAGCGCTGGTTAATGCTAAAAATATGTGTTATATCTAAAAAAAATCACCCATTCTCTCTACTTTAAATTGATATCTAGACGCATAGAAGCAAACATACTGGTGTCGAGATATGAGCAGTTCTTTGAGAGCAAACTTAGACTCTTTAGGAGCGTTGCGTCGCGTAGTCTAAGTTTACTCTCAAACAAACGCACATATCTCGACACTAGTACGTTTGTTTCTACGCGTTTAGATATCAAATTAAAGTAGAGAAAATGGGTGCTTTTTTAATATATAACACTTATTTTTAGCATTAACCAATCCTTAGAAAAAATGATTTGAAAAGTGGCAAAAAAAGCCGATTTTCGCGGCTGAGGAGTCGGCTGTTTGTGAGCTATGAACTGAATAGAACCTAATTTTTTTATAAAAAGCTTTCTTTTAACATCAAGTAACTAAATATCGATAGCTTTTGCTAAAAGTCAGATTTTCTGAACTCTAAAAGAAGCTCGTACCCCTTTGCAAGTAAAGCAATTTTCGCAGCGGGAGCTGGTCACTTCCGTACTTTGCTAACTCCGAGAGTTTGAACGCCACATTGGAAATGAATATTTAAAATAAATTAGTTAAAACATTCTAAATCTTAAAATAAAATATCTAATATTAAATCTTGATTCAAGTGTAAACAGCAAAACAAAAACCATGAGTTGAGATTTTTGGACAGATTTTGGAGTACTTTTGATTACTCTTTCAGATTAAAATATTGGGTTGATGCATAATTATCCGGACTTCTTTTTGCGTGCTTGTATCTTTTTTGTTTTGAAAGCTTTTTGTCTATTTCTTTTTTTTAAATATTCGTTATTCTTTAGTGAACAAAATGCGTGTCGACAATCATATCCATCTTCGCCATATCATGCTCTACCACTTCGAAAAGGGATGGTCTGCCGCAGAGTCGTTTCGCGATCTCAAAGAACTTTTTGGTCAAGGAACAATTGGACGTGCAACAGTTTATGAATGGTTCGATCGTGTTACCGGACTTGAAACGATCGAACCATTCATAAACTGTTGCACGTCCATGCTCGGACCAGGAGGGCCCCCTGCGGCAGACCATCCCTTTCGAAGTGGTAGAGCATGATATGGCGAAGATGGATATGATTGTCGACACGCATTTTGTTCACTAAAGAATAACGAATATTTAAAAAAAAGAAATAGACAAAAAGCTTTCAAAACAAAAAAGAAAACCCCCCAAAAGAAGTCCGGATATTATGCATCAACCCAATACTATTCTTTCAAGTTATATACGGTCATGAACAAAAGTCTTTTAACGTTGTTTTTTAGAAGTTTGTTGTATTCTTTGTTCTTTGTATTAGGTTGAGGAAAAAGTAATGTCGGTTTTGAATTCCCGTTGTTGGCAATTTTCCATTTCTTTGCTTATGCGATTTTTTTTTTCAAATTGATATCACCTAGGCACTTCTATACTTTCATTAACTCATTCGAACCCGTAGTGTTTTTTCTTTTTTTTCGTCTGCGGACCAAGCCCTTTTTTGAAATTTTTGAATCCGAAGCAGTTTATCCGGATGGTTGGAAAGGCTTAAGAGAGTCTCCTACACCACTTATTTTTGATAAAGAACGATTTGGATTTGACTTCAGTACTTTTCAAGATCCTATCGATTATTATTCTTATTTTATCGACGACAAATTAATCAATATGTTAGTAGGCGAATCTAATAAACATGGAAAAAGGAAAACAAACTGGCAGGATTTCGATGCATAATCTTTCAAGCTCTTCCTGGCTCTGTATCTTCAAATGGGAATCGTCAAATTACCGAGGATTCGTGACTACTGGAGTAGCAGGCCTGGATTAGGAGGATTTTCCCACATGTCCCACATTATGTCAAGAGCAAAATTTGAATCTATTCTTCGAAACCTGCGTTTTTGTGATAATGAACTGGATGCTGCAGGAGATCGGCTTTATAAGATTAGGCTTATTATGGAACATTTCAATGCAAAACCAGAGGCTGCATTGATTCCGGGTAAATATGACACGTCTTTTTTGCTCACGTAATTTGTAGATCTGTTACAATTGGAATATACATGTAATGCTGAAAAACAGCAAAAAAAACCAATTAATTGAATGAAAATAGCTCAATTAGCGCTGCAGCGAATAATTGCTGCAGCGGTCCGTTCCTGAGTTTTTGCTGCAGCGATTATTCGTTGCAGAAGTTTCGAATGGGTTAAATCATATCAAGCTTACTATTAGACTAGAAATATTTGGATACTTTTGGAGTTGGGGTAAATCCGCGCGAAATGGTGTTCTCTATCCGAATTTCACGGTTAGAGTATCCATTCGACGCAGAAAATTGTGCTGAATCGAATGGTGAAGAAACCGTAAAGACTTTCTGTTACTTGTGGGGTTGGGGAGCAATTTCCTTCTTCAAAACCACTTTTTCTGATGTAATTTTAGGCGTAGATTCCGAATAACACGACGAGAAGTTGGGAAAATGCGTTTTAAGCCAAGATTTCGGGCGCCCAAAGTGCACGCTCGCTCGCTCGCACGCACGCTCGAAAGTGTTTTTGATGTGTGAAGCCGAAATCATCAGCTACCCGGGCACATTTTTGGATGTAAATGAGAGCCAAAATCACTTTTTACTCATTAGAAACTTATTTCCAAGCGATTAAGCGTAAAAAGAAACAAAAATTTGAAAAAAATAAATTTTTTTTTTTGACTCAGCTGATTTTCACCCATGTGGGACCACATGCCCAAAGTGTTCAAAAAAAAAATTTTTAGATTTTAATCCAATTTGATCGGAAACATGAACTTTATGCTTAATTATTACGGAGAAATTGATTTTGAAGAATAAATAAGTTTCCGCGGGCTCTAGAGGGCCGCTTTTGATACGTGCACCACATCAAAAACACTATAAGAGCACGCACGCACTTTGGACGCCTGAAATCTTGGCTTAAAACGCATTTTCCCAACTTCTCGTTGTGTTTTTTGGAATCTACACATAAAATTGCGTCAGAAAAAGTGGTTTTGGAGAGAAAAAATTGCCCCTCAACCCCACAAGTACCAAATATTGGGTTGGTGAATTGAAACTGCCGGCTATTGTCATATGTGACAGTTTGAGTACTTTCTTCAAAAGAAACCCATTTTGGTGTCAATGGAAAAGTTGTAGAGAATCAAAAATCAAGCTTATATCCAAATTTTCAGAACGATTCAAAAACTGGTTTTCAAGAAATGCCAAATTTACGATATTTCACAAAACTTGCAACAAAATTTGCATTTTAAGCCAAACTACTGAGTGTATCTTTTTGAAAATTTGTCTATAAGCCTAGTTTTTGATTCTCTACAACTTTTCTATTGACACCAAAATAGGTTTCTTTTGAAGAAAGTGCTCAAACTGGGCTGACAGCTGACATCTCCAGTCCTCCATTTTTGAGTCTCACACTTGTCTCACACACAAACCAAAATCCTACTACGAAAGAGGAATCCGCAAATTGCCTGTAAAATGGGCAGAAGTCGTCAATAATAATGGAAATTATTTGGAATGAATTGATGGTTTTATGTTGAATAAATTTTAGTTCAAAGTCCGGCAGTTTTCAACTCATCAACCCAATAGATTTGAGTACATTTTGAGGATAGCAAGACGACCGTTAATGCAATCAAATACAGCGAACAGTTGGACAAGGTAAATGAATTTCTGAAGAAGAATAGACCCTCTAAGTCAAAGATCGTTCTCCTCCATTGGAACGCGCGCCCTGATGTTGCAAAACTGACTCGCTCTAGAATAAATAGCCTTGTTTGGGAACTTTTGGCGCATTCCCCATACAGTCCGGACCTCGCCCCTTTTGCTTACTATTTATTCCAGATCATGAGCTTGCGGGAGAACACTTCGATTCGGTTCAACACTTTTAGTTCAAAGTCCCGCAGATTTCAATTCACCAACCAAAGATTTTGTCTAGTCTAGTTTTCGTTTTTCAGTTCAATAAATAAATATTTATTCACAAAGAAAAATAACATAATGTCTGAGTTTTTTTCTTCTTCTGGGAGCATAGAAATAATCTATAAAAATCGGGTTCCTTTTTGAGTCACAACCTAAAAAATTATATGGCAACTTTAAGCGAAAATTTCAGATTCTTAAGAAAAGAAATGCTTTTGAAAAGCTTTTTAATAAAAAGTAAATGTGAATGTTGAAAAGCTAGTCATGTAAATGTGAATATTGAAAAGGTGATCAAGTACAAGTACAAGTAAAGTAAAGTAAATGTAAAGCTAATCAATTTTCGATTGATTGCACTGGGAAATTCTTTTTTTTGTTGATGAAGAGGAATTTGATGAGAGAAATCGACCTGTATGAGAAGTGGACGAAAATTGAGAAAATTCGGGGTAAAAGATTTAAAAAAGATCACAGAAATGAAAGATTATAAAATGTTAAAGAATACAGTAAGAGTTGGGTGAAAAACGTGGCCTGAGGGAGATTTGTTTAGGACATTGATGGCTGATTGACTTGTGGACTCCAAGCCGGGTCGCTTGCCGCCATCATCGTGTTTCGATCGGCTTTCTTGCCTGAATAAATTTACAATTACAATTACAATTACAATTACAATTACAATTAAAAAGGATTATTTAGTGCCTTATATACTTTTATAGTGGCTCCCCGGAGTGCCGAAGTGTCCCCATTGCCAGAGGCAAACTACGTTTTTTTTTGTTTTTCTCGCCGCTCACTTGACCCATCTGGCTACAGTTGGTTTCATTCGATAGCTCGGATTAATATCTATGATTAATTGTCTTATTATTGCGTACCAGCCGAGGGTTTTTTTGGGTGTTTTGGGCATGCAGGGCTTTTGTCGCCGTGGAGCAGTGGATAGTGCGCCGGTCTATCGCCCATACGATCCGGGTTCGACCTCCCCGGGCGACTCGAATTGTGCTTTTTAAAAAATCCAAAAGCACGTTGCACAACTACATGTAATTCCCTATTCAAAGGCGCAAAATCCTTTCAAACTGTCCTCTAGTGGTTGAACCCGCGAGGAAAAGTTCCGGAGTCGAGCAGACTATGCGCTAGACAAGGCGGCCACTTTAGAAAGAAGGTTATATTACCGAGGCAAATTTTTCGCTCTCCCAATCTTCAAACCTGTTTTTACATGGATTAAAGGGCCCATTGGGTTGATTTTAAAACTCGGTTTTGCTCAGAATCGTGGAATTTACGTGGAATCCGATGCACTAGGTCTCGTAGCTAAACCCGAGGTACTAGATCTCGTAGCTAAACCCGATGCTAAGAAGAAACAATTCCCTAGTTAAACATGAGCGCTACAAACTACAAGATCATACTAAAAACCCTTGTAGAAGCACGTAGAATAGAGATTTTTCAAAACTTTTTTTACCAAAAATCGAGCCAACTTTAGGCTTTGCAATGACGCAAAAATCAGGTCAAATCATGTTCTCTGTGCTGAGATAATCAGGTTTTTAGTCTTATCCCATGGAATAGAATATAAACGGCTATAAAGAGCTAGTAGAGATGTTGGATTTACTTGTTTTTGGTGTCATTCGAAAGCCTAAAGTTGGCTCGACTTTTTGGTAAAACGAGTTCTAAAAAATCTCGATTTTACGCGTTTTTACAAGGGTTTGTAATCTGATCTTGTAGTTTGTAGCGCCCATGTCTATTACGGCTTAAGTAACACCAGAGAAACGGTAGCTTTCCCTGTAGTTCACTTTTTCGAATCCTGTATGAGGTTAAGAAGAACACAGTATGGCCAAAAACCACTGAAAACTTATGCTCAAATTTCCAGTTTTCCTTTAGCCTTTATTTTCTTAGGTTCTGTTCTTTGATTGTGAATAAAAATAGGCAAAACACTTTTTTTACTTACCCAAAGCCATGAATGCATAGCAGCAACCACAAGCAAAGATCATCCCCGAGCCCAATATCGTCTCGAGTTCGATGCAGATTAAAATTGGTACCAGGCCCATTCTGAAAATGTTCTGATTCTGATTTCATTCCCATCACTCTAATAGCACCGTGTTTTAGCAACTTGGTCGCTGTAAGCAACTCTAATCGCAACTTGGTCGCTCTAAGCAACTCTAATCGCAACTTGGTCGCTCTAAGCAACTCTAATCGCAGCTTGGTCGCTCTAAGCAACTCTACTCGCAACTTGGTCGCTCTAAGCAACTCTACTCGCAACTTGGTCGCTCTAAGCAACTCTATTCGCAACTTGGTCGCTCTAAGCAACTCTACTCGCAACTTGATCGTTCTAAGCAACTCCAATCGCGGCTTGGTCGCTCTAAGCAATTCTAATCGCAACTTGGTCGCTCTAAGGAACTCTATTCGCAGCTTGGTCGCTCTAAGCAACTCTATTCGCAACTTGGTCGCTGTAAGCAACTCTATTCGCAACTTGGTCGCTCTAAGCAACTCTATTCGCAACTTGGTCATTCTAAGCAACTCTAATCGCAACTTGGTCGCTCTAAGCAACTCTAATCTCAACTTGGTCGCTAATCGCCGAATAAATTTATAATTTTGGCATTAAGCTTGTAGGTTTTTAAGATTAATCGGTTTAAAATCTCATTCAAATATACAGCTTCTACGCTGAGATATTAGCAATTTAAAAAAGACATAGTTTACAACCTAATAGTACCCAAGGAGGAAAACAACTAATTAGAACTATGAGTCTCATAGGTACGTTCTTCTATTTATATTCAAATCCATCTATTACTTACACTCCAAATAGAAGAGCCTTGTGGAAATGGGATCGCGATTCGCTGAAGGCGGCGATTCTCTCGATGAACTCGATGAATTGACAACAAAATGGCGCTTCGAGGGCAATCGTCAAAAAGCCAGAAGCTCTGGAAATTTGCTTTTGAATGGCTTTAGATTATTTAGGTAATAGATTTGTAAGTTTGTCGTTTGTTTTGTCGCTTACATTTGTAACAAGACAGCAATGATGCATTTTGGTGTGACGGAAATGATGCCGATGACTCCGAAGAAAATCGCCACAAAGCCACCAATGATGCCGACTGCTTTTGCCAAGTATCGGAGCCACCTGAAATTATTGTATAAACAAAACGCAATGTCCAAATTGTTCAAAATGTCTTTTCCACTTTAGTTTAGCATCTAACTTGATCTAATAGCGAGTAATAACTTGATCTATTAGACCGCAAATCAGTTCAAATCTAAAAGTTATTTGAAACAAAGACAGCTTGTGAATTTAGTCCGTCATAAAACATAAACAATTCATTTTATTCGTTTTTAGTATTAAATTTTACCATGGAAAATTGGCGTTCGGGTCGTGCTCGGCTTGCATTTGCGTCTGTACTCCAGACGCCGCTGCACCCATGATCTGAAGAGCTTGATTTAGATTATGATAAAAAAAATTGTAACAGTTAAATAGCTGAACAATGATGAGCAATGGACATTTCTAAATCAAATGCAAAAAGGGTGAAAGGGTGATTTTGAAATCACCTGAACTGCATCGAATAGAAAAGGGGAAAAGAGATGCGAACTTGTCACCGCATTGATTAGATAGGAGAGACTTCAGAAAAAAAGGGTAGGCATTAAAAATGGCTGTCATTTGAGCGATCCGACAAACTGTAGATTAGAGAATTTTGAAAATTTTCGTAGAAATTACGGTTATAATTCGGTATTGTAATTTGTTGAAGTAGTGGCTCAAAGTAAGTACCGTAAATACTGTAATAGTACCCCACCCCCCTCGTACAGTCGCGTAGTCGCAAAAGTTTTAGTCGTTTTTTAGTATTTCATTTTTTTCAAAGCACCCGTACTTTCAAAAAATGCGTCTTTGGTATCAAAAAATAGCCCTGAATTTCAGCTATTTTTTGATACCTAAGCGCTCATTGTAGCATAAACCAGTGTCGAGAAAAACTCGTTCAAAGCTAGACTACGCAACGCTCCGCACCGTCATTATGGGGGTGGGGTACTATTACAGTATTTACAGTAGGTATTTTTACAGTGATTAAGTAGTAAAAAAAAGGAAACATGAAGAAAAATGGACAAACTTTGCTATGTACTCTGAAAAATTGTTCAGAAGCTTTATTGCATCACAAAAAGATTTTTATGATAGCTTAAATGGAAAATTTGATTCTTATAAAGAGCGCTTGCAAGCGGAAAAGGTCATCAAATCGTGTCGGCAATGTGATTGACGAATATTTGGTCGATATTTGACACATAAACATGAAAAAGGAAAATCGAGTATGTGGAATGAAAAAGGCGTGGAATAAGGGTCCGACAAGAGAAGGAAAGGGGTCGATCGATTGGCGCTTGGAGAAAAGAGAGAGTAGGGAAGCCGCCGGGGCACCCCACTGCAGGTCAATCCATCCCAGTATTTGGAAAAGAAGGGAAAAGAAGAGAAAAGAAGGGAAAAAGGAAACAAAGACCACTTCTTGGGTTCGGGCCTCTTTTAGGGCCATTTTGAGAAATCCCTTCCTTTCACAATCTTTCTCCTTTCGCAATCTTTCTCCTTCTGCAAATACCCACTAATTGCGGCGTTTCTCTTGGGAGTTAGTGTTATGAAACAAATTCTGATTTAGTTTCAGCTTTAAAATAAAAGGGAAAATAACAATAATGATTAGTAGAAATAGTTATTATTCAATAATAATTAGCTGAAATGATAATTATTTAATAATAATTTATAAAAATAATGTTTTAAGTGCAAATTTTTCAAAACGGAGCAGTTTGCTCTGATTGCGAAGAGCAAACAGCAAAGGTATTCTATTTTTCAGGCTCCAAAAGTACTTTAGGATACTTTAAAACCTAACACAGACTCTAGAATCTATATTTTATTTTAAATTTGCTTTAAACAATAGATCTACGAAAAGTCGACTTGGTTTGGTCAAAAATGAACAGGGAAAGAAAGGCCGTTTCCTAAAATGCGCTATTCCAAAAGCGCCAATGTTACGGTATATTCAGACAAAAGTGTTTTGGTACTTTGGTGGTTGCTTAATAGATTGGTGACTATTTTAGCAAGTTTTTGCAATTCTAGCCTAATCGCATGTACTTTAACCACCAAACGCTGCCTCAAAGTTGCTTACACTTGAAAATCAAATAAAAGCGGGAATATGAAACTTGAAAAATGTTGTAAATGCTCTAAAAGTCTAAGCATATTTGATTACCCTCGAATAGGTGGATAAAAGGTATCAATACAGCCATCAATATCAATATCAATAGCAATACAACCATCAATATCAATATCAAAAGCAATACAACCACTCAAAACATTAGATCCAACTAAGCCAGGATAAAGTCGACCCTCCCAACCACCAAAGTACCAGTGTTTCTTTAGAAAAAACCAAACAAAAACTTGAAAACAAAGAAACGCACAAAACACGTGTGTTATTGCTGGGCTAGACTTTAGGGCTAGACTTGAGAGAGTGCTGTGTGATCAGACGGTTTAAGTGTTCATTCACAACACATTTCTTTTTTTTCTTCTCTCAGTCGGTCACTAGCGTCGATAGGAGTAGACGTAGTCGCCATTTCTCGCCCTTTTTCAGTGCAATTTTTCCTTCCTCCCTCCTTCTGTGCCAAATTACCCATCTGATCTATGATTTTTGTGCGCAATGCATGGTTTAGGCTAAAGAATTCGTTTTGTTGTCGACAAAAATTTTATTTAGACATCTTTTTACCCATTTTGTCGATTTTCTTGCTCAATAGATGGGTTTTGATTGAAAAGAGCAGCTTTTGATCAGACATTTTATAATTTTGCATACATTTGATAGATAAATTTGAATTTTTACCCGATCCTCAATTCTTTGGCAGTTAAATTTTGAAAAGCCCTGTTCAATTACTCATTTGTTAAAATTTTAGTTTCTAAATCTGAATTTCAATTGAAAATTCTCCATCAGCTTTACGTCATTTTATCAGCGTTCTTTGGTCCCATTTTCCCCTCACTCGTACAATAGTTTTTTTTGTTAAGTTGCTCTATATTTTCTGTTATATTGCTTGTTATATTGCTCTATATTACTTGCGCAAATAATTTTCTTTTTTTCAGAAAACCTCGTCGAGGCGTTTGATGAGCCAATTTGCGGTCACTTGAGGAAATGCTTGCGATACGACTTTTCGGACGTTTTCGAGCGTGCTCTCCGGGACTGATCGCAAAAGCTTCAACAAGCACATCACGATGTTACCGAGTGCCTTACCTAATCGCTTACGCTGGTGGATCGACGATGCTCGTGCGTTCGTGCTCTCAATTTCTTCGAGTTCGCCACGCGATGTGCAATTTGGAAAAAGAGGAACACGATCCGTGGATTTTGCTACCTCGTCAAAAAGATACCGCCAAATCGGCACATCCGCTGATCAAACGGGTTGTTCTTTTTCCGGTGACGGTGATTGTTGCTGTTTATGAAGCTTTGAGGATGACACTCCGATTTCTCGTGCTCTCTTTTCGATTCATGCCATTGCTGATCACTTATCCGGTTTGTTCACGCTTCCAGAAGACGTATGATTTGTGGTGGAGGGTCGCGTTGTGGCATGTGCAAGCCTCGGGACCGACTTTGATCAAATTGGGACAATGGGCGTCGACGAGACGAGATGTTTTCAGCAAGGAATTCTGCGACCGTCTCTCGATTCTTCACACAAAAACGAAGAAAAGACGGTTGTTCAGAAATCATGACAAAGTTTTACGCCATCTCTTTGGATCAGAAGTGTTGAAGCACAAGGAGAAAATTTTCCCAGTGATTGAGCCGTATTCAATCGGTTCTGGATGTATTGCACATGTGTATCGACTGACGATGGACATGGGTGAATACGAAAAAGTGACAGGGGTTCGTGTGCCTGGATTGGAAGGAGCAGGAAAAGTTGAAATGGCTGTGAAAGTTGCTGAAAGAGGAGTCGAAGAGATGATCGAGATGGATCTTTCAATTGTGAGCAAACTAGCAAGATGGACTCAAATTTTCATGCCATCTTTGAAATATTTGGATCCGGTTGGAGCAATTGAACAATTTGAAATGGTTCTGAGGCGACAAGTGGATTTGCGAAGTGAAGCTCGAGCACTGCACAAATTTCAGGAGAATTTTGATCCGGTGAAGACAGGGATTCGATTTCCAATCGTTGTTGCCTACAACAAAAAGTCAATCATTGAGACTTACGAATATGGAATGTACATCAATCGTTTGGTTGCCGAGGAAAATAATCCCGATTTAAAATCGAAACAATCACACGCTGTTCGTCGAAAAATCGCTGTTCTCGGCGCGCGAGCTTTGCTGAAAATGGTGTTCGTCGACAACTTTGTGCACGGCGATTTGCACCCAGGAAACATTTTGATTCGTTTCAACGACAAGGAGGCTTCAGGTGTGCATTTCGCGCCACCATCGGATTCGCTCTTTCAAAAAGCAAAGGATTTTCTCCGAAGCACCTTCCGTATACGCGGCTCACCAAAGCTTGCCTTCAGTGATTCACCAGATTTGAATGACGAGCCGACTTTGGTTCTTTTGGATACAGGAATTGCGATCTCTGAAACACCAAAGAATCTACGCAATTTGAGGCGAATTTTCCGATGTATTGTGGAAAAACGTGGCTATCGTGCTGGAGAGTTGATTCTCGAGGAATCACCACACCAGCAATGCAACGACAAGGAGCTTTTCTGTAAGGAAGTCGAGCAACTCGTGACGAAAGCGCGAAGTGAACGATCGTTGAGGACATTGAACATTTCGGCGCTAATGTCTCAATTGTTCAACATCGTCGCGGATCATCGGGTACAATTGGACTCTGCATTTACGAGCATTCTGTTGTCGATTATGGTTTTGGAGGGTTTCGGCCGCTCGCTCGACCCGGATCTTGATCTTTTTCAATGTGCAAGGCCTTATTTGCTAAATGTTATGTTATAGGAGTTGTAAATAAGTTGTTTTTGTGATCTCCTTTTGATTTTTTTTGTTTGTTAGATCTTTTTCTTTAGTTTATAGGAGCTTTAATAAAGTTTATTTATAGGCGGAAGTCCTCAAAAAGGAGCCGATCAAGAAAAGTCGTCTCCTCGATTCAAATAGAGAGCAAGTGGATGAGGGTTGGTTTGAATTTTTTATGATCTCAATATACGTATTTCATGATAATAATTAATTGCATTTGTAAGGGACAAAGATTAAATGAGTAATTAATTTTAACACTTTAACCTCTAACTTCTGTCGGTTCGTGTAATTGTCGATTTATCCATAGTGAAGGCAATTAACATGTGGTGCAGATGGAAAAAATTGCAATTCTATTCACAAGTCTTTGTAATTAAATATTTTGTCATTTTAGCGCTTGCAACCTCCAGAACGCGCTGAGCATGGCCACTGTGGAGCTCGCGCCCGGAGTCCAAACATTCGAGACGCCGAAGAATAAAATTTTAAGTGAGTTTTGTCGTTTAACTTTGTAATGAGGCCTAAATGAATAGGATATTTTCAAATCAATTTGTTATTAAGCTTTTTAAGATTACTCTTTGAACTTGAAATTAAATTTGCAGTGTTATTTCAAATTTTCTTTTAGAAGAAGATCACAAAATCGATGTCAACGAAATTTCAACCCATGCTAAACATGTCACCCCTCTACTCAAGCCATCCAGCACGAAGCACTCGTCGTTGGTTCAGGTTTGTAAAAACCGATGAAAACGAAGATAAAATTCTATTAATTTGTAAGTTTTAGTTGAATAAAAATATTTAGGGAAGTATTCCAAAGGAAACGGCTATTGCCACTCATGCAGCGATCTACGGACTAACACCCGAAAAGGAAAAACGGTTTGTTTTAAGACAAAGAAAAGAAAAAGAAACTTCTTAGAAAAATTGAAACATGTAAGACAGAGACCAGGTTGCTTTAAAATAATATCTCAGGTTACGCGAATTGTATGACCGATTGGATATGGACAACGACGGCACCATCGATATTAGGGATTTGACAATGGCGTTAAAACATGAAATGCCGCATATTCCATCCAGAATGGCTCCGGTTTGTTGAAGTGAAAATTGTAGCATAAATTAGTGGGCTTTAGTTGTTGATGCAAAAAATGGCCGCTGATTCCTCGAATTCATCCGTTGATTTTGGCGATTTTGCAAAATACGTGATCGACCACGAGGAGCGATTAGAGAAAGTGTTCTCAGATCTTGATCAAAATAAAGACGGTTTGTAAAAGATCAAGAATTAACAATAAAAGCTTTCAGGGTATATTGATGTGCAAGAGATTCAAATTTACTGTGATACACAGGGAGTTCCAATATCGGACCAACGAGCGGCTGACATTGTCCAACAGTACGTTAAATTAGACAACATGTATAATATGGCACAAAGTCTTGTATACAAATTTGTTCAATAAATGCAATTGTTAAACTCTTTACAGAATGGCGCAAACGGGAAACGTGAACTTGCAAGAATTTCAAGACTACATGCTTCTCTATCCATCTTCAGATCCAAAAGAAATCGCCCAATTCTGGAGGCATAATTTGGTAAATAGAAGAGGGATTATCTAAATTTACATACGATTCATAGATATTCGACATCGGTGAGGATTCACAATTGCCTGAAGATTTCACCCAAGAAGAGATTCAAAGCGGTGTTTGGTGAGTTGGGGAAAGATCAAAAATAAGATGTGGCTAAATTCGATTTTATAGTAGAACTAATAGAGTAAGTGCAGGTCAAGTCAAAATTTACAGGTGGCGGCATTTGGTCGCTGGTGCAGTGGCTGGGTGTATGTCTCGGACAAGCACGGCTCCTTTGGATCGGATAAAAGTCTATCTGCAGGTCAGGATGGTTTTTTTGATCAGAATTGGATACTATCCGGTTATAAATCCTCACCCGTTTTTATGTATCCTATCCAGAGTTTTTTAGAAAAAGTGGATAGTTTAAAAGATAGTTTAAGGATCAGATTTGTTTAAGTGCTAATTTCAGAACAAATGTACTTTAGGTACACATAAAATAGATAAAACAATATTATAGGTTTAACCTAGTTAATTGGTAAGGCATATATAACCGGATAATACCTAGATTCGTTTTATAAATTTTCAATTAGCATATTTAAATATTGAGTATTACTTAAATTGATTGAGTATTACTAATTGAGTATTACTTAAAAAGTATTAACATGAAATTCTGAACAGATCCCTTACAGGTACACGCATCTCGACAAAATCCGTTAAATCTCTTCTCTGCTATCCGATTACTTTACGCGGAGGGTGGGATTCGAAGTTTTTGGAGAGGGAATGGGATAAATGTCGTGAAAATCGCTCCCGAATCAGCCATCAAGTTCATGGCCTATGAGCAGGTAAGAAATTCAATGAAAATGATTCTCTGAATTGAAAGTTGAGATAACTTGACTACTGGTAAGAGTGTAGACTTAGATTTCCCGTATTCCCGTTATTAGTTTATTCAAAAACTTTAGTTCAAAAGATGGATTCAAGAGTACAAGGGAAGCAACGAGTTGACGATTTATGAGCGCCTTTTTGCGGGTTCTTGCGCTGGAGTCATGAGTCAAACGACGATTTATCCGATGGAGGTGAGGAAATTTAAGGCATTGTAAAGCTAAAGTCTGACTACAGTAAACTATTACTATTACTACATATCGTAAACTATTACATAGCATATTTTAGGTTTTGAAAACGCGATTAGCTTTGAGAAGAACCGGTCAATTAGATCGTGGTTTGATCTACTTTGCTCACAAGCTCTACCGAAGAGAGGGTCTCATCGTTTTCTACAAAGTGAGTGAATAGTGAGACCTGGGAATTTTTGGTTTGAACGCCAATAGGTATGCAACGGAAAAAATGGCATATTTTGGTCAATTTTACTCCGATCTTTTTGGATTTTCATATCAATTAGCACAGAATTTCATTTTCTATCGATTGAAATCAAAGACGAAAAGATTGGAGTGAAATTGGTTAAGGTATTGGCATTTTCTATTGGACATCAATTGACGTTCAAACCGAAAATTCTCAGGTCTAGTGAATTGGAGAGTCTAGTCTTTAATCTAGTCTTTAATCTAGTCTCTAATCTAGTCTTTACAGTTTAAAATAATAATCAAATACAATCTCATAACTACGTCCCGAATCTTTAGGGCTACGTCCCGAATCTTTTTGGAATCATCCCGTATGCTGGGATCGACTTGGCCGTCTATGAGACTATGAAAAATCTCTACTTAAAACGGAATCCAGAGGTGAATCTTGAGTAGTGATAAAAGTTAGACAACTTTAAGAAATCCACCTACCGCAAATACTGTAATAGTACCCCACCCCCATAATGACGGTGCGCTAGCTAGTCTAGCTTTGGACGCGTTTTGCTCGACACTGGTTTATGCTACAATGCGCGCTTAGGTATCAAAAAATAGCTGAAATTCAGGGCTATTTTTTGATACCAAAGACGCATTTTTTGAAAGTACGAGTGCTTTGCAAAAAAAAAATACTAAAAAACTTTTGCGACTACGCGACTGTACGAGGGCGGTGGGGTACTATTACAGTATTTACGGTAATCTAATCATTTTTTTTTCCAAAAAGTACTTATAGAAGAAAGAACCCGGCACGTTGGCTTTATTGGCTTGTGGAACGATCAGCTCAACGTGCGGTCAACTAGCCAGCTATCCGTTGGCTTTGGTAAGGACACGACTACAAGCAAGAGGTCGGTGTCAAATGTCTTAAGAATGATTAAAGCTCAATAAAAGCTTAGCTTAAAGAATACGCTAAATAGAAATGAGCACTAAAAACTATAAAAATGACGAATTGTCATACGAAAAATGCTTCTAATTTGCTTCAAATCTGCCGAATTGACATGATTTATAGCTCAAAAAAACGACCGAAAGAAACGGACGGTACTCGCGCGTAGTCAAAGCAATCGACTCAGACTACAAACCACTGTAACTTTCTTTAGCATTGATATTTTGGGTGTGATTTAATCCATTCAAAAGCTCTTGAGATTCTCGATTTTTTGAGCTATAGATCATTTCAATCCAGTAGATTTGAAGCAAGCTAGAAGCGTTTATAGTTTACGTTTACGTTATTTGTCATTGTCATTTACGTTTATAGTTTGTAGTGCTCATGTCTAATGCTAAATGTTAATCATTAAGTTGAGTGTAATATTTCAGAGTGGATCGCTGATCCAAATCAACCGGACACAATGGTCGGTCAATTCCGTTACATAATCCGAAATGAGGGCTTCACGGGTCTATATCGAGGCTTGGTGCCAAATTTTATGAAGGTTAGCTGAATCAAATTTCAACAGAATCAACAACTCAGAATAAATCAGAATAATTAAATGATTGATTTTGATAATGCAAAAGATTCTAAAGTATTTGGTTCACCCATAAATCATCTTTCGACTCTACTAGCGTTTAGAAATGACAAATTCATCAATTTATCTACGGTTTCCTTCAAAAACATAATGTTTAGCATTCATTTTTCGCTCTTTTTAAGACAATTTAGGTGCATTTCCAAGCAAATTCGAGTGCAAAAACTCATTTTTCATAAAATTCGATCAAAAAGATCTACAAAGAACAAAGAAATCGCCTGAGCAGATTATCTTGATTGGCTTCATTAGAAAGGCCTACTATTTCACTACAAAGCGACGTTCGAATCTTAGGAAAGTGTTTTGTTTTTGGTTTTTTTATGAGGAGGCGAAGTCGGGTAGTCAAAAAAGGCGATAACCCAAAGGCGCAATTTAGGTGTTTTGTTCTACAGAAATCTAGGAAAAACAGGCGAGCTCTCAATGGGAATGTCAGCGAATCACGAGAACGGATTGAGTCGTAGCCTGTGATAATGTGTACTTTAAATACGGTTACATGATAAATTTATATGATCGCTAAAGATCTATAGATCTCTAAAGATCTATATTAGGATAGCTCCTAAGTCTTGGTAACACTTTGTTCTACTAGCGTTTATAAATGATAAATTCACCAATTCACCAAAGACCTACGGTTTGCTCTAAATAGAAAATGTTTAGCATTCACTTTTCTATCATTTCAAGCCGATTTGGGTCTGTTTTCAAGCAAATTCGAGTGCAAAAACTCGTTTTTCGTAAAATTCGATCAAAAAGATCTACAAAGAAATCGGCTGAACAGATTTCCTTGAAAATTCGGCTATATACCTAACTTTTTGTGCTCTATCTTTTATCTATTGACAGCAAGATAGGTTTCTGTAGAAAAAAACGCCTAAAATTGCGTCTCATCGCCTTTTTTGACTACCCGATTTTGACTTTGACTTCACGTCCTCATAAAAAACCATAGAAAGAACATTTTCCAAAGATTCGAACGTTATTTTGTAGTGAAATAGTAGGCCTTTAAGCGCCGGAATCATGTTTTTAGCAAGAAAACTGCAGAGATTTACAGCGTTTACTTCACGTCTTTCACAAAAATGGATCTGATAGTTTTTGTGTTTGGCAGAGCGGCGTAGCTCAATCGGGTATTATTTTTTGCGCGTTCTCTGCACGTCACGCTTCACGTGGTTCCGGGCTTATTTAAAATAAAACACGGTATGAGGCAGGGCACTTCCCGGTCGGCTAGCAGAGCCTATTTTTCCTATTAGCCTATTCGCCGGTTTTTCCTAGATTTCTGTCGACCAAAGCGCCTAAATTGAGCCTTTGGGTTATCGCCTTTTTTGACTACCCGACCTCATCTCTTCATAAAAAACCATAGAAAAAAACATTTTCCAAAGATTCGAACGTTATTTTGTAGTGAAATAGTAGGCCTTTCTAATGAAGCCAATCGTATGTACATTGGTGAATTTGTCATTTATAAACGCTAGTAGAAAAAAGAAAGGCTTTATAGGTTTTCAAAGGCTTTATATTGGCAATAGATCAAGCTAATGATCGATTTTAGGTAATCCCAGCCGTTGGAATCAGTTACGTCGTTTACGAGAATGTCCGGAGACATCTTGGAGCGACAATGTCGTAAAAATTTGTGTTGCTTTTAGTTTTGCAATTTTCAAATAGTCGTGATTCTAGTTGCTCACCTTTGCCGAAGAAAAGGGTTACAATAATTTTACTCATTTTTCTTGTTTTTAGACAACTTGCTTTTCCCAAATTCATTTTTTATCCCGGTATTTCGACTGCACTTTCTCTCATCATCATTTTGCGATTATTTTATGTGAAGTCCCGCTCTATCTCTATTTGTTTAGTAGGCTTAGGCTTAGGAGTTTAGGTAATCCCAGCCTAAGCCTAAGACTAAGCCTAAGCCTTAAGCCTAAGCCTAAGCCTAGGCCTAAGCCTAAGTCTAAGCCTAAGCCTAAGCCTAAGCCTAAGCCTAAGCCTAAGCCTAAGCCTAAGCCTAAGCCTAAGCCTAAGCCTAAGCCTAAGCCTAAGCCTAAGCCTCAGCCTAGCTTGCGTAATTTGTTTTTTCTAAAAGCTTAGCAATTTTCAAACTACTAAACTACCGTAACCTTGTATTTAGCGTTTTATCTAATTTATTCACTTTTAGATACCACAAAATACAGAAAATAGATACTGTAAATACTCTAATAGAACATCACCGCTCAAAATGACGAGTGTACAGTCGCGTAGGCTAACTTTGAACGTCCCGTTCTCCACAATGCTTTATGCTAGAATGTGCGCTTGAGTGGCAAATGATAGCTCTTGAAATCTAGTATTTTTTGATACCAAAATTATAGTTAGGAAAATCTAGGAGCTGAGAAAAAAGCGAAGAAGAAAAAACAAAGAAAAAGAAGAAGAAGAATCATTTGGCCGTACTAATGCGATCGATTTTTGAGGTCCACATCACTTTTAAGGCTTTCTTTGTTTCGCAGAAAGTTCTCGATACATTTGTACTAGTTTTGAAGAGGAGATTTGGAGTTATCAAATGACTTTAATAGTTTAGCTTCTCTCTGAATTTTCATCAATTTATCAGTAGAATAGCTGACAACTACACGACTGTACGCCTCAAAATACCGCTTTCGTAATAACGAAAAATTCTCTTGACCAACCTCAACTTCGGCTAATGTTTCCAGCACTAAGTAGGTGATGATTGCTGTCAAATCGGTGCGTGATGTCTGCGGGCGAAGGCATTGCAAGAAGAAAAAACAAAGAAGAAGAAAAAGAAGAAGTCTAACTTCTTTCTAAAAAGAAAGAAGAAAGAAAGAAAGAAAGAAAGAAAGAAGGAAGTTAGACAACGCGACTTTACGAGAAGGTGGCTTTCTATTAGAGTATTTACGGTAAATTAGAAGCCTTTGGTAAAGTTACGGTAGCTTGACAAGCTTTAGAAAACGGATTAGTTCAAGAAAACTATAAGTAAACCACAAAATCGTTCTTCAACACCATCAAGTTTTTTAAAGAATTTAAAGAAATCTTTCCAAGAATTATAAAAGAGATTAGGGTTTACGGTATCTGGTTTTTGATTTCTTTATTATAATATTTACAAGCGAAGGTCAATTGGATGTGGTCAATCTTTTAGTCAATCCTATTGTCTTTAAAAATCTCATTTTAAAGCGAGCTATATACTATTTGACGTAGAATTTTGCGCTGATTCCGAAACTGTTTTCCGTTTCTACCTTGTAGCACTCTGTCAAAAGTTCTAAGTGCTCAAAGTTCTGTATGTTTTACAAATCATTCTTCGAATTTATAAGCAGATTTCCGAGGGCTTTTCGAAAGCATTGATGGCTGAGTGGTAGTCAGCTAGAATACGAGGCAAACCCTCTCGAGTTCGAGTCTGCAGTTTACCTTTTCTTTGCCTTTTAAGAGGTAATTGATCCGCATTCGATTGATGGTAATTGATCTTCAAATAAAAATCTTCAGACTCGAACCCAAGAGGCATTGCCTCGTGTTCTAGCCGACTACCACTAGGCCATCACTGCTTTCGAAAGACCCTGGGAAATCTGCTTTTAAAATCTGTTTTCACTTTCTACCTTGGAGCACTCTATCAAAAGTTCTCAGTGCTCAAAGTTTTGTATGTGTTACAAATCATTCTTCGAGTTTACAAGCAGATTTCTCATGGTCTTTCGAAAGCAGTAATGGCTGAGTGGTAGTCGGCTAGAATACGAGGCAAACCCTCTCGGGTTCGAGTTTGCAGTTTGCCTTTTCTTTGCCTTTTTAGAGGAGGTAATTGATCTTCAAATAAAAGTGTTCAGGCTCGAACCCGAAAGGGTTTGCCTCGTATTCTAGCCGACTACCACTCAGCCATCACTGCTTTTGAAAACTCCTCGGAAATCTGCTTATAAACTCGAAGAATGATTTGTAAAACATACAAAACTTTGAGCACTTATAACTTTTGACAGAGTGCACCAGGGTAGAAATGGAAAACAGATTCGGAATCAGCGCAAAATTCTACGTCAAATAGTATATAGCTCGTTCCATTTTTGGCCACCACATCCATTTGGCATTCTCTTCTTAGTTTGCTTTCCGTTTTCCCAACTTTTCATATGTGATATTTGTAGGTTTCCGATTTTTCTGAAGCCTTTTCTTCGATTTTCTTCGATTTTCTTCGATTTAAACACAAACTAGCTCAAAAGCTGCCTAGTATTTAAAAGAAAAAAAACAATTTGTATTCTATTTCGTTATTTATTTTTGGGTTAAGATTTTAAATTTCTCATAAAAAATTTTTCATAAAAAATTTTTCATAAAAAATTTCTAATTAAAATTTCTAATTAACTTTCTAATTAAATTTATTTGATTTATTATGTTTATTTTTATCGCCTTTTCAGTATTTTTGCCTCTTTTTTGTGATTGGTTTGATCTGATCAGCTTCAATATTTGAGAAATCGGGAATGGGACAAATGCGACCTTTTTTTGCGCACCTGGACATTTGCGCACCTTTTTTTGCGCACCTTGCCCATTAGCGCACCTTTTTTCGCGTTTTAAAGCTCTAAAAAGCTCTAAAAAGCTAATATTAACCAATTTCTATTCCAAAAGTTGTTTTTCTAGGTGATTTTAGGGCGTAGAATCGAAATTTTGACATATCAGAGCTTGTGGAAACAAACGGACGGAGTTATACAAAGAGAACAACGACATTTTCGACATCGACAATTTTCTGTAATTTGATCTAGCCGTTTTGTCTTTCAAATTGGTTCCACAAGCTCTGAGATGTCAAAATTTCGATTCTACGCCCTAAAATTACCTAGAAAAACAACTTTTGGAATAGAAATTGGTTAATATTAGCTTTTTAGAGCTTTTTAGAGCTTTTTAGAGCTTTAAAACGCGAAAAAAGGTGCGCTAATGGGCAAGGTGCGGAAAAAAAAGGTGCGCAAATGACCAGGTGCGCAAAAAAAGGTCGCATTTGTCCCACCCCCCATCAATTTCAATATTTGAGAAATCTGTAAAATTTATGCTAAATTTGATTTTCATTTTTCATTTTCATTTCATTTTCATTTAATTTTCATTTCATTTCTAATTTTTACAAGTTTTCTACCGGTTATTAGGCTTTTTCTTTGTTATAAGAATTACTTTTTTTCGATTTTTTCGATTTTTTCGACTTTTCTTCATTTTCTTTGTCAATTCTATGTTTTCGTCTTATCAGATTTGCCAAAAAGAACAATTTTTCGAAATATTTCTTTACTATTTTCAATTTACTTTTCACGATTTTCATTTTATATTGTCATTTTTTCAATTTTCTTAGCCACTTCTATGTTTTCACGGTCTTTCTGTGCAAAAAAATAGCTATTGACAGTGTGTTTTGGTTCGCAATAAACTGTTGCTTGTTTATTGGAGATTTGTTGAGAGAAATTTGGTAGAAACCAGTGAATTTTGAGATTTCTTTCTTTGAGATTTGAGATTCTTCTTTTTTATGATCATTAGATAATAGAAATCCGAATAGTATGGATTATGCTGGATAGAAGAGATTTTAATGCAATGATGGGGTCGTAGCCGATTATGAATGAGTGGGAGCCTCCAATCATCTAGGAGAGCCTCCAATCATCTAGGAGAGCCTCCAACCATCTAGGAGAGCCTCCAATCATCTAGGAGAGCCTCCAATCATCTAGGAGAGCCTCCAATCATCTAGGAGAGCCTCCAATCATCTAAGAGAGCCTCCAATCATCTAGGAGAGCCTCCAATCATCTAGGAGAGCCTCCAGTCATCTAGGAGAGCCTCCAATCATCTAGGAGAGCCTCCAGTCATCTAGGAGCGTCCAACCATCAAGTATTTGGTATCATTCAACGCCAAATCATTAATAATTATGTTAAATTTATTAAATTAGAAAGATTGGATAAAAAGAGAAAAAATTATGGGGCTTCAAAGTTTTCTCTTGAACAAACACTTCTTTTTGCTCTAATTTTTTTCTTTTTATCAAATCTTGCTAATTTTAAAAATTTAACATAATTATCAATGGTTCTGCGTTGAATGATACTAAATACTTGATGGTTGGACGCTCCTAGATGGTTGGAGGCTCTCCTAGATGGTTGGAGGCTCTCCTAGATGGTTGGAGGCTCCCACTCATTCATAATCGGCTGGAATGCATAATCGGCTACGGGGATCCCACCGATTTTGAATGAAACGTTGTAGCGCCGGCAATTTTTAACCTAACCTCTCAAATTTGGTACCAATAGAATTGAATTCACTACAAAATGAGATAATATTGTCCTCATACATTAAAGGGTTGCTCTACTAGAAAGATTTACCAAAAAAATTTCATTCATAATCGGCTACGACATATGGATTGGTGGATTAGATGTGATGACTAAGGGGAAACACTGACCGGCCAAGACCTTTTTTGACGACTCTAGATCATCCACCAGAGCCAGACATCCATAGAACTAAGCCAGAAGCTATTTTTTAAAATTTTTTTTTTTTTTTTTTTTTTTTTTTTTTTTTTTTTTTTTTTTTTTTTTTTTTTTTTTTTTTTATTTTTTTTTTTTTTTTTTTTTTTTTTTTTTTTTTTTTTTTAAATTTTTTTTTATTAAAATTAAATATAATTTATTTTTTTTTTTTTTTTTTTTTTTTTTTTTTTTTTTTTTTTTTTTTTTTTTTTATAAATAATTTTAAATATTTTTATTAATTTTATATATATTTTTTAAAAATTTTTTTTTTTTTTTTTTTTTTTTTTTTTTTTTTTTTTTTTTTTTTTTTTTTTTTTTTTTTTTTTTTTTAATTTTTTTTTTTTTTTTTTTTTTTTTTTTTTTTTTTTTTTTTTTTTTTTTTTTTTTTTTATTTTAAATTATTTTTTTTTTTTTAAAAATTATTATATTTTTTTTTTTTTTTTTTTTTTTTTATATATAAACAAGAACAGATTTTTGGTTGTAGTAGAGCAATGTTCGACCGTAAGACTGTTTTTTTAAAGGCAAGAGTGTCGACTAAAAGAAAAGAAAAGATTGACCAATAGAAAACCAATGAAAAGTTTAGAAATGAAAGAGTTACAACTGATTTTCCCAACCGCTTTCACGGAAGAAGAGATTCAATTGAAAGCGATCCAGGAGCGTTTGAAACATTTGGTTTGTTAAAAAGAGATTAACTAGATGTCTAATCTTTTGAAAAATGAGATAATGAATAACAAAAATACTCTAATAGAAGCCCTCCTATAGGAGCGTCGCATAGTCTAAGTTTACTCTCAAACAAACGCTCATATCTCGACACTAGTACGTTTGTTTTTAGGCGTTTAGATATCAAATTAAAGTAGAGAAAATGGGTGCTTTTTTAATATATAACACTTATTTTTAGCATTAACCAGCGCTTAGAAAAAAAAGATTGTAGACTTTTTTTGGCACTTTTCAAATTATTTTTTCTAAGTATTGGTTAATGCTATAAATATGTGTTATATCTAGAAAAAAAACACCCATTCTCTCTACTTTAATTTGATATTTAAACGCGTAGAAACAAACGTACTGGTGTCAAGATATGAGCGTTTGTTTGAGAGTAAACGTAGACTATGTGACGCGATGAGACCGGACTGTTTTACTAGAGTTTTTATCTCGACACCAGTATGTTTGCTTCTATGCGTCTAGATATCAATTTAAAGTAGAGAGAATGGGTGATTTTTTTTAGATATAACACATATTTTTAGCATTAACCAGCGCTTAGAAAAAATGACTGAAAAGTGCCAAAAAAAGCCGATTTTCAATCTTTTTTTTCTAAGCGCTGGTTAATGCTAAAAATAAGTGTTGTATATTAAAAAAACACCCATTCTCTCTACTTTAATTTGATATTTAAACGCGTAGAAACAAACGTACTGGTGTCAAGATATGAGCGTTTGTTTGAGAGTAAACTTGGACTATGTGACGCGATGAGACCGGGCTGTTTTACTAGAGTTTTTACGTTAATAAGTGTTGCCAAAAGTATTTTTATTTCATGAAAAAAGTTGGACTTGAATTGGAATTAGACTTTAAATGCAAATTTGCTTGGTTTTTGTTTTTAAGACTTTTAGGCCTTTGAAAAGAGCTTATCTACAAGGCTTTATTTCCATATAGAACTTTATAGTTCCAATTTATTGTGAAACTTTTTCATTGACGCTTCTAAAGAGGGCCGTTCTATTAAACTTTTTACGGCAACTATATTGTTCTTACTACCTTTTTACCAGATTAGATTTCAGCGAAAGATCCTCAACAATCGAGTGGCGCCACTTGGGAGTCGAGAAGATCGAGAATCGCAAAATGACAAGAACAGGGATTTGGCGAAAAGAAGTGAGTGAAGGGCTCAAGTAATCTTGATGCTGAAGTAATCAAGTGGTCAATAGTAACTTCACTTAAGCAGTAGATCAAGTAATAAGTCCCTGTGTTGCTATTAATAAGTACAGGGCTATCAATAAGTTTAATAGTTTAAGTTTAAGTCAATTTAAGTGGACTTTTGAGCTCGTAGGTCGTTTTTTTGACTATTTAACAGTTTCTACGGGAGACTAAAAACGTTAGAATCACATTTCAGTTTTGGTTCTTTCAAAAAGCTTAACAAGAGTTCGTGAAAAGCTCAATTTATCCGAATAGGCACTTTCCAAATGGGCCATCACCTCTAATCCAAGTTTAAAACGAATCATCTTCGAAACATGTGCATTATGATGTTGAAGAATGATTTTTCTCTTCTCTGGCAAAGATTTAGCTGACTTGTTGAGTTGAGTGTTGTCTTGCTATCCAGAGTTTCTAGTAGATAGACTCTTCCAAATTCCAGAGCACCGAGAGCATAAACTTTTCATTTCTAGACAAACAACACCACAAGAGGCAATAATTTTGAAAAACGTAACTTAAAGTTGTTAAACTTGAACTTTTTGTGAACCCTTGAACTAATCTAGATGTAACTATTTGTGCTCGATTGACTCTATTGACACAAAGATAGGTTTCGATTAGATAAAATGTCTAAAGCGCATCATCGAGCTCTACAAAATGCGGTCTAAACCTTGTAATCTACTGATATAGATATCGAAAACCCTGTACAAGATCTTTAACTAGCCACAAAATAAACAGCATTCGAGCATTAGAATTCATCAAATAATTTCAAGATTTCGAGCTGGCTTTGAAAACGGAGGAGTTGCGCAAGAAAATCGCTTCTGGTGCAATTACTTTAAAGAAAGCCGATGACAAGATGACTTTCAAGAGAGCGAAGATCAGAAATCGCAGCAGTGGAAGCTATTCAGGAGAAGCTGGCGAATTGGTAAGTGTAAGATGTAAAGAGTTGTGATTTGTAAGTTTGTAATGGCTCAAGATTTGTAATAGCTGTTGGCCGAAGGCATGGCTGTTGTCTTGGCTCAAGTCATGGTTGTTGTCTTGGCTCAAGTCATGGTTGTTGTCTTGGCTGAAGGGATGGCTGTTGTCTTGGCTCAAGGCATGGCTGTTGTCTTGGCTGAAGGCATGGCTGTTGTCTTGGCTCAAGTCATGGTTGTTGTCTTGGCTGAAGGGATGGCTGTTGTCTTGGCTCAAGGCATGGCTGTTGTCTTGGCTCAAGTCATGGTTGTTGTCTTGGCTGAAGGGATGGCTGTTGTCTTGGCTCAAGGCATGGCTGTTGTCTTGGCTTAAGGGATGGCTGTTGTCTTGGCTCAAGTCATGGTTGTTGTCTTGGCTGAAGGGATGGCTGTTGTCTTGGCTCAAGGCATGGCTGTTGTCTTGGCTCAAGGCATGAGTCAAGGCATGGCTCAAATTCGGTTAGTAACTCAACCTGCGACTCGGTTAGTCACAGATTTGAAGTTATCCCAAACACAGAGCTATACAAAGCACCATACTCATTGAAATTAAACTACGGTTATTACTAGTCATAAACTGCAGCCATTAAAACGATCATTTCCTTTGATTGACCAGCATCATCACTCCACAAAATGATCATTGACAAAATCATTGATTTTCCAGCGTTATGTTAAGAATTTGAAGTCCTGTTGTGGTAGTTTAGGATAGGGTTTTAATAGGATTTGTTTCTGTAGGATTTCTGTAGGATTTCTGTAGGATAGGATTGATTGCTTGGATTGGTTGAATAAATCAATATATGTTATTTAATTTATTTCATGAACCAATACTTTTAGGCTTCTCCTCCCGGCATGATGTCTCCTCCAATCGGCTCTCCACCCAGTACCCCATGGAGTTCCGATGATAAACCACCAGAGATGGGAAAAGGAAAGATTTTGTTCATCAGAGGCTACGATTTACAGGTAACAAAGCATTAAAAACATTAAAACAACCATACGAAACATTTAAAATCGAAGATTTCACTCGATTTTAGGTGGAAACTCTAGAGTCAGCTTTTCGAAAGTTTGGCGAGATTGAGAACACTCGAGTTGAGGATCGACAAAGGTAAAAAGGCTTTTTTTAGGATTTCTAATTGAATGAGAAACGTTTTGACTAATTTGTTTGACTGAGAAACGTTTTGACGAATTTTTATTCAACTTTTAAACTTCCAGGGTAGCCTACATGACTTTCAAATCAATGGAGGGACTCGATGAAGTGATTAAAGAGGTTTAAACCTATCTTTTACTACCTTTTTCTATCTTTTTTTACCGTAAAAAATCTAATTCTAAGTTCACATTTTGAAAAAAGATATAAACAACAGTTTTAAGATGGATGGCAATATGGTTAACGGCGTCACTTTGCGAGTTTCCTACGCGAAAAAGCAAGGCACAACAACTTTCCGAAATCCGGCCTATATCCCACAAAATAATCGCCAAACGACTCAAAGGACTCCAGAAAAGCGGTAAGCTTAAGAAAAGTTGTAAAAGAAAGTGAAATAAAACACTTTTGAATATTTAGAGCTCATTTCAAAATGAGAGACGAGCAAGCGCCGGCGATTGAAAAGTTGATGGACAAAGAGCTACTGCCGCCGATCCCGAAGATCAAATTCAAGCCGGTGCCGAAACCTCAAGTTAGTTTCTTCTGATATGGAAAATATTTGAAAGATGATGATCTTTGGGACTCGTAAAGATGGTCAGAAAGAACGAACGCAAATTTTGGCATTTGCGTTTGGCAAGCAAGATTACTCTAAAAAACCAAAATTCATAGCTAGCCAAGCCAAGCCAAAGCCAATGGCTTTTATTGACTTTGGCCTGGAATGATTGCTTAAGCTGTTTGATTGCTTAAGATTTAAACGTTGGCTTTGGCTTGATCTTATCTGGAAAATCGGCTCTAACTATTACTAACTAACCTAACTAATCTAACATAATGCAATAACCTGCGAAATATTAGCTAGAATGCTAGAAGTTGTTTCAAAAGAAAATCAAAAAACCAAAAAGCGGTATAAGGGAGCGAACCCAGGCTCGCTGGAAAGTCTGGCCCTCTGACCTAACCCCTTATCCACTAGGCCACCAAGCTTTCTCCCCTCGGATAGAAAGGAGCGTTTTAAAGCATCCGTTTTGAAATCCGCTTTTCGAAGTCGTTCTTCGATTGAAGTTTTACTCGCCTGGAAAATCATTGATTGATTCCAGAGAGGGATTTGAACCCTTGACCTTTGGCTTACCGGACAATTGCTCTACCACTGACCTATCTGGGGTTTTATTTTGCTAAGAGAAAGAAGGGAATACAAGGAAGAAAGAAAGAAAGGAAGAAAGAAAGAAAGAAAGGAAGGAAGAAAGAGAAGAAAATGCACCGGTTCCAGTCAACCATCGGCTTCCTTGAAGAGCTTCTCCGGGCATTAGCAATAAAGAAAAGTTGTTTCCAGAGAGGGGATTGAATCTTTGATCTTTTCTTACCGTACAATTGCTCTATCACAGAGAAAAAGTGTACTAAGTGTTAAGGAAAGTGCACTAAGTGTCAAGGAAAGTGTACAAAGTGTCCAGAGTGTAAAAAGTGTCCAGAAAAGTGTACAAAGTATCCAGAAAAGTGTACTAAGTGTCCAGAAAAGTGTACTAAGTGTCAAGGAAAGTGTACAAAATGTCAAGGAAAGTGCACTAAGTGTCCAGAAAAGTGTACTAAGTGTCCAGAGTGTACTAAGTGTCCAGAAAAGTGTACTAAGAATGCCTTTCCCTAGCAAGAACAACTTTGTCCACAAGTGAACCCCAACTTCGTTCAAAGCAATGCAAAACATAGACTTTTAGGCTACCGGCAACGAATCACCGGAAGAGGGCGAGATTGATGATGAGGAGATCGAAAAAAGCGATAAAACTGAAAAGGAATCAGGTAAAGAAGTTTATTTGTCAATAGATTGACGACAGATTTCAGCTAAGCATGATAAAAACTAAAAAAATGAAATTTTCAGAAGCGAAGCGGGAGATGATGACATACGAGAATCCATTCCTTTAAAACAATCATAGAATCTAAATTGTAAAGATCCAAATTGTAAAGATCCACATTGCAAATATCGACCTTTTTATTTAAACTAATAACTATCTGCAGTCATTTTTATCCTTCTTTTGCTCAAACTTTTTCATTTTCTAGTTTCATTTTCTTTCCAAAATCCAAACTACAAAGTACAAAGTCTACAAAGTTTTCCAGAGAAAAGACTCTGTTCCTTTAATTTTCTCTTCTTTTTTTCTTCATTTCGCTCTTTCTTTGTTCGCTGTCTTTTTCCAGCTTTTTAGAGAAATATTGGGGAAAATGGAGAGATGATAGAACTTCAAGAGTTTCAAAGAAAAGCCTTCTTGTCTTCTTGATAGAGCTGTCTCTGCAAAAATCCATCTTTTTTTGATGCCAAAGGTCGCCTCATCTCATAACTCTCGAATTTGATTTATCGAAAGAAATATTTCCTTAAAAAGTTGATTCTTTTTTTTCATTTATTTATGCTTATGATTTGCTTAAGATCTTATGATTCTTTGAAATCTTTAGAAACGTTTTGCGGGCATTTTGCGGGCATTTGGCGGTTTGTAGATTGTTAATATTCAAAGCAAAGCTTTTTTTACGTCTTCTGGACTTTCCTGCTTAACAAAGCTTAGAATTCTGACTTCAAAGTACTCAAAAATGAAAAGATATATATATATGTTGTGTCCGATTTAGATTTCCGTCCGATTTAGATTCAATCTAAATCGGACGTCCGATTTAGATTGAACTTATCGCGGACGTCCGATTTAGATTACAGTCTATATCGGACGACTCAATCTAAATCGGACGTCTTATATAGATTGAACAATAATATAAACATGTTTAATATATGTTCTTAAGCGTTTTCTGTAGTTTTCTGCATTTTCAAAGGTCTTTTATTGATTATTTCATAGTTGGGTTTTCTTTTCAGAAAAAGATAGTAACAGACCTTTGAAAAATGCAGAAAACTACAGAAAACGCTTAAGAACATATATTAAACATGTTTATATTATTGTTCAATCTATATAAGACGTCCGATTTAGATTGAGTCTAAATCGGACGTCCGATATAGACTGTAATCTAAATCGGACGTCCGCGATAAGTTCAATCTAAATCGGACGTCCGATTTAGATTGAACTTATCGCGGACGTCCGATATAGACTGTAATCTAAATCGGACGTCCGCGATAAGTTCAATCTAAATCGGACGTCCGATTTAGATTGAACTTATCGCGGACGTCCGATATAGACTGTAATCTATATCGGACGTCCGATTTAGATTACAGTCTATATCGGACGTCCGATTTAGATTCAATCTAAATCTTATATAGATTGAACAATAATACGTCTTGTATAGATTGAACAATAATATAAACATGCTTAATACATGTTCTTAAGCGTTTTCTGTAGTTTTCTGCATTTTTCAAAGGTGCTGTTACTGTCTTTTTCTGAAAAGAAAACCCAACTATGAAACAATCTATTAGCGTTAACAGAATAGATGCGAAATTACAACACACAACAACAAAAAACCAACAACAACAACGAACGAGTTAAAAATTTCTATTTATTTTTGCAGCTTAGGCTATTGTGACATCTTGAATTGCAGAGTTGTGACATTGTGACATCTTGAATTCTTTGTGGCATCTTGAACATGCTATTGTGACATCTTGAATTCTTTGTGGCATCTTGAACATGCTATTGTGACATCTTGAATTCTTTGTGGCATCTTGAACATGCTATTGTGACATCTTGAATTCTTTGTGGCATCTTGAACATGCTATTGTGACATCTTGAATTCTTTGTGGCATCTTGAACATGCTATTGTGACATCTTGAATTCTTTGAAAAGCGCAGAAAATTGCAAAAAAACGCTTAAGAACATATATTAAGCACGTTTATTATTGTTCGATCTGTATCGGACGTCCAATATAGACTGTAATCAATAAAAGACCTTTGAAAAATGCAGAAAACTACAGAAAACGCTTAAGAACATATATTAAGCATGTTTATATTATTGTTCAATCTATACAAGACGTATTATTGTTCAATCTATATAAGATTTAGATTGAATCTAAATCGGACGTCCGATATAGACTGTAATCTAAATCGGACGTCCGCGATAAGTTCAATCTAAATCGGACGTCCGATTTAGATTGGATCTAAATCGGACGGAAATCTAAATCGGACACAACATATATATATTGGGTTGGTGAATTGAAAACTGGTGAATTGAATTGAAACTTTGAACTAAAAAGATCGGTGCCAGAGCTAGAAGCCCAATGAATAGATTAATTTCATGAAGCTGGCAAGGAAGTCGTTTCGCTTTTTAAAGTAATAATCTATTACCAGTTTTATTGGGCAAAAATCATGGGTTTCCTATGGTTTTGGACAGAGCTTTTCTTGGAGAAAAACGATCTTTTTTTTATTTCTATTGGGTTGGTGAATAGAAAACTGCGGGACTTTGAACTAAAAGTGTTGAACCGAATCGAAGTGTTCTCCCGCAAGCTCATGATCTGGAATAAATAGTAAGCAAAAGGGGCGAGGTCCGGACTGTATGGGGAATGCGCCAAAAGTTCCCAAACAAGGCTATTTATTCTAGAGCGAGTCAGTTTTGCAACATGAGGGCGCGCGTTCCAATGGAGGAGAACGATCTTTGACTTAGAGGGCCTATTCTGAAATTCATTTACCTTGTCCAACTGTTCGCTGTATTTGATTGCATTAACGGTCGTCTTGCTATCCTCAAAATGTACTCAAATCTATTGGGTTGATGAGTTGAAAACTGCCGGACTTTGAACTAAAATTTATTGAACATAAAACCATGAATTCATTCCAAATAATTTCCATTATTATTGACGACTTCTGCCCATTTTACAGGCATTTTGCGGGTTCCTCTTTCGTGGTAGGATTTTGGTTTGTGTGTGAGACAAGTGTGAGACTCAAAAATGGAGGACTGGAGATGTCAGCTGTCAGCCCAGTTTGAGCACTTTCTTCAAAAGAAACCCATTTTGGTGTCAATAGAAAAGTCGGCTTACTGTACTCAAAATTCGAAACCCTGTACTCAGTTCTTCAGTTTCTCCATCTGATAAAGAAGAAAGAAGAAAGAGAAAGCTGTGCATCATATGCAAAGAAGAAACTGATTCAATTCGGATTTGATCTAATATAATTTGGCTCTGATCTAATGCAATTCGGATCTAATCTAACACAATTCGGATCTGATCTGATCTGATCTCTTCAATCTAGACTGTACTGTACTCAAAATTCGAAACCCAGCACTCAGTGCTGCCTTTTCACCACTAATAACAATTGATTTTGAAAGAAAAATGAGAAAATCAGCGCACTAGAATGGCTACGTCGACAGCTTTGAGCTCTACAAAGTTTATTTTTTGAGTTTTGTTTTACAAAGTTTTGATTGGTTCATTTGTTTTCCATCTCTTTTCCGTGAATCGCCTATTGATTGGTTTCTCGTGTAAATTTCAAATTTCATTAAGAATTTGTAAATATTCTTTGTAAATTTGTAAATATAAATCATAAAGAATAAATCTTTAATTAACTTTTAAACTTTGGAAAGCGGTGTACCAGATTTTCACTCAATTTTCTTTTCATTCACCTCTTCTTTTATTTCTTTTCGTTGCTAGGCAGTCAAATTGGGCGTTTCGGAATATTTGAAAAGCTTTATGTAAAGAAAAAACAAAATTCTACAAGAGATTCACCTCTAGAAGAGATTTTCTAACGTTGAACGTGTTTTAGATTTGCATGAAACTGTTTAACCATGTGATTTCTAGATCTCGACAATGTTTTGGTTACTCCTGCTTTCACCAATCGTCTTTTTTTTCGCATTTTGGTACAAAAGATATCTAGAAGCTGATGTAAGTTGAGAGGTTTTTAAAAATACTCTAATTTACTTCAGAAGCCAATCATTTATGGAAGACACTCGTCGAAATTCACCCATCTCGTAGTTAGTTTGCCGGCTGTTCAAAAGGTACGACAAGTTGAACCATAACAGGACAATAACAGGACAATAACAAACAGAAACAATAACAGAGCTTCTAGGACAATGACAACAATAACAGAGCTTCTTAGCAATTCTTTCCAACTTGGTGGTGCCCTTTCGGTTTTGCGCAGACGATAGCTCGACAATTTTTCAGGAGTCGACCTACTTTGTCATGGAGGAGGTAGGCCTAGGAAGTGTTACCGATTAGGCTTTTCAGGAGGTCTTTACGTTCCTTTTCGTACTTCCGTTTAAAAACAACAAATGCACTAATTGAACTACTGTTTGTTCCATTAGAAAGGTCACTTATTTTTCTGCAAAATAACATTAAAACGGGTTTAAAATGTCTTATTTTTGGATTCTTTTTGGGGGCTTGATGTTGGGTAGTTAAAAATGGCTTTACAGTAATCTAGCATCGTTTTTAAAAGTCAATAAAAGTCGACAACTGTCGTGTCCATAAAACTCAACTCGTGTAGCTTACTTGGTTCCAAAATTAAAGCCTGAATACTGTTCATAAAACTTTACAGCATTAAGCTGTAGCGAAAGTCTTTTTGTTCCTTTTCGTACTTCCGTTTAAGAACCAATAAATGCACCAATTGAATTCCTGTTTATTCCATTAGAAAGGTCACTTACTTTTCTGTAAAATAGCATTAAAACGGGTTTAGAATATCTTAAGTCTGGGTTTTCTTGGGACTGTGAAGTCGGGTAGTCAAAGGGAGACGGTTCGATGATGCTAAGACATTTTGACTAATGGAGACCTATCTTTGTGTCAATAGAGAAAAGATCGAGCACAAAAAGTTACATCTAGATTAGTCCAAGGGTTCACAAAAAGTTCGAGTATTGGATTCTTTTTGGGAGTATGAAGTCGGGTAGTCAAAAAAATGATTCTTTTGTTCTTTAGTGGCTTCTCTGGCGGTTTAAACACACTTTACCTAATGGAAACCTATCTTTCTGTCAATAGATAAAAGATAGAGCACAAAGAGTTTTGTATATAGCCAAATTTTTAGAGAAATTCATTCAGCCAACTTCTTCGTAGAGGTTTTCCGAGATTTCTACGAAAAACACGTCTCTTTCGCTCTCGAATTTGCTTGAAAGTGAACCAAAATTGGGTTAAAAAGATGAAAATTGAATAATAAAGACTTTTTCTGTGGAGAAAACTATAGTTTAATTGGCAAATTTGTTATTTTTCCATGAAAAGGAACAAAAAGACTTTCTGGACAGTCTAATATTTTCCATTGAAAGTTAAAAGCCAAGTTCTGATCCCGAGCCTTCGCTGATCTAAGGTTTTCAAAAGAAGTTTTTGCTTATATTCTATATTAAACAGCCAGGCCATTTTCCAGAGAAGTCTACGAACATTCGGATGGCGGTGTGCAAGCGTTGGACTGGCTTGAGCCAATCGATGCAAATGAGAAGACTCCGCTCGTTTTCTTTTTGCCTGGAATCACGGGTTGGTTTAGATACATGAATAGTAGATCAGGGATGTTCCAAAAGAGAATGTGAAACCAGATCTAGACTCTAGAGGCAGCTCTAGAGGCAGATCTAGACTCTAGAGGCAGATCTAGAGGCAGATCTAGAGGCAGACCTAGAGGCAGATCTAGACTCCAGAGGCAGATCCAGAGGCAGATCTAGACTCTAGAGGCAGATCTAGAGGCAGATCTAGACTCTAGAGGCAGATCTAGAGGCAGATCTAGACTCTAGAGGCAGATCTAGAGGCAGATCTAGACTCTAGAGGCAGATCTAGACTCTAGAGGCAGATCTAGACTCTAGAGGCAGATCTAGACTCTAGAGGCAGATCTAGAGGCAGATCTAGACTCTAGAGGCAGATCTAGACTCTAGAGGCAGATCTAGAGGCAGATCTAGACTCTAGAGGCAGATCTAGAGGCAGATCTAGACTCTAGAGGCAGATCTAAACTCTAGAGGCAGATCTAGAGGCAGATCTAGACTCTAGAGGCAGATCTAGACTCTAGAGGCCGATCTAGAGGCAGATCTAGACTCTAGAGGCAAATCTAGACTCGAGAGGCAGATCTAGAGGCAGATCTAGACTACATATTTTGAAGATTCGTGTCATTTTATTATGTACTAGGTCCTGAAGTCATGCTACGGGGACAAGCCATTTCTAATTAAGCAGCACATAAAACTCTTGAAAGTTCAGAAAGATGCAAGTTTTAAAAAATGGTTTAGGTTCAACCCATGACTGTTCCTACATTATTCACTGTGCTAAAGATGTGAGTTGAACGCTAAATTTTATAATTATCATATTCCTTTGAGGTAGTGAAACAAGGCTGGCGTTGCGTCGTTGTAAACGCTCGAGGACTTGGTGGAGTGCCACTTAAAACAGCCAAAACCTACAACGCTGCTTATACGGATGATTTCAGAGATGTGAGTATTGATATCTAATAAAATAAAGCAAGAAAATAAACTCAAATCTAAAATGAATCAGTAAATTAGTTTTAGATTGTTCAAATGTCTCTGCAAAGATACCCGGATGCGAAGAAGATGGCTTGTGGATTCAGTTTGGGAGGGTTGGTTTTGCTTAGACGATAATGACGGTGCCGAGCGTTGCGTAGTCTAGCTTTGGACGAGTTTTTCTCGACACTGGTTTATGCTACAATGTGCGTTTTGGTATCAAAAAATAGCCCTGAATTTCAGCTATTTTTTGATACCAAGAACGCATTTTTTGAAAGTACGGGCGCTTTGAAAAAAATGAAATACTAAAAAACTTTTGCGATTACGCGACTGTACGAGCGGGGTGGGGTACTATTACAGTATTTACGGTATGTTAATATTTAATTGTTTAATGCTATTGTTGTCAAGGTAACTCCTGACGTTTTAACCACGTTTATTGAATGTAAACGAAAACATATTAACAAATTATCTAGAGTTAAACAATAACGACAAACATAACAACAATAACAATAACAAAATTAACAAGCCAAAAGAAAAAACAAAAGTTAAAAACGTGAAAACTCTTAAACTTTGTTCGAAAGTATAAAGCATGATTAACAAGTGGTAACTAGTAACGTATTACGGTTCAAAACATTTAAATTCTGGGTCGAAATGGGAAAGTTGCCTTTCCGTACTCGAACTGGGGGGAATTGGGATTTTACCAACTACAACACACAAAAAATAATTTGCATTTGACGAGAAATTTCTAGAAAAAGCTACTTTCATTTATAATCGGCTAGCTGGTTATGAATGATTCATAACCGGCCGGTTATGATTTTCGCTAGCGAAATCATTTGATTCATAATCGGCTGAAATTCATAATCGGCTACGACATACAGTACTGGACAATGAAATATGATATTTGAAAAACGATCGTCACTTTCGCGCGTCTGTAACTCACTTGTCTTTGAGTTTAAACTATTAGTGTTATACATTTTCTGAAAGCTCTTTTCAAGGGCTACACAAGGGTAATATTAATATTTAGAAATACGGTAAAGACAAGGGAGTTACAGACGCGCGAAAGTGAAGATCGTTTTTCAAATATGATATTTCATTGTCCAGTAGTGTATATAAAATTCTAGCATGATTCTCTGGAACTATCTCGCCAAGCACACTCGTGAAAATTGTGGTTTACTGGCTGGAATGGTGGTAAGTAGACAAAATGAGACTTGAAATAGAGTCAGTATCACTATAGAGTCAATATCCACTATTTGCATCGTTAGTTTATCAATATGATGCCCAATCAATATGATACCCAATCAATATGGTACCCAATCAATATGATCCCTCATTCTGCGAATTTAGATCTCATCTCCTTTCGACAATTTCCGATCAACGGCCTCTTTGGAGACTTTCTGGCCGAGACTTTTCTTCAACAGCCATCTAGCCAATTGCCTCAAAGAGGTTATCTTCCCGTGAGTTTTAACTCATATTTTATAGTGTTCTCTTCAAAATTTCGTGTTAACTGTTTGCCCTACACTTTCAAAGTCTATAAATATCAAATTTTATCTTTTAGATACAAGGAACTTTTTGAGAAACATTTGGATTGGGAGCTGTTGATGAAAACGAATACAATTCGAGGCTTTGATGCCAATTTTGTTGTACCGATGTTTGGGTATAATGATTGGGAACACTATTACACAGAAGCCACACTTAAAACAAAGGTAAGCGCAGAAAAAAACGAGTTTGGCACTAATCTACTGGGCTTTTAGGTGAGTCGAATCCCGATCCCGGTGCTAACGCTGAACTCGTCTGATGATTGCTTTGCTCCGATCGATTGTAGGTTTTCTAAAAAACAAGCCGAGTCAACATATGTTAACAATTCGTTAGCTACTTTGCAAAATTTTAGCTTGATTTTTGGACCACCGTTGATTTTTGACTTTAAATAATTAAAAACGCAAAACGAAATTCTAATGCAAAGCACTTAAATTGTAATTTTATATGCAAAAGTACGCAGAAATACTGTTTACGAAATCATTGACTTTAAAAGCCACACTTTAAATCATTTCTTTATTTTGCACCTGTTGAAAAATTGATAGAAAGATTGAAATGATAGAAAGCCAAACGCAAATAACAATGCCACTTTTCAGCTCTACCTCTCGAGGAGATCTCTCAATCAGAGAACGTGGTGGCTGTGGTGACAAAACATGGCGGGCACACAGCTTTCATGTCACACCATGATCCAAACGAGAATGGACTCGTTGAGCCACTGTTGTTAGATTTAGCAAGTAAAGTGTTCTCTGGTGATTTTTAAGGACTTTCTTTTTAATTCTTACTTACGAGATACTTATTTACATCATTAAGTAATAAGTAGTGGGGTATTGTTGTTTAAAACTTACCATAAATACTGTAATAGTACCCCATCCCCATAATGACAGTGCGGAGTGTTGCGTAGTCTAGCTTTGAACGAGTTTTTCTCGACACTGGTTTATGCTACAATGAGCGCTTAGGTATCAAAAAATAGCTGAAATTCAGGGCTATTTTTTGATACCAAAGACGCATTTTTTGAAAGTACGGGTGCTTTGCAAAAAATGAAATACTGAAAAAGTTTTGCGACTACGCGACTGTACGAGGGGGGTGGGGTACTATTACAGTATCTACGGTAGGTTCTTTAGGTTAACAAATTTCATCGATAGTATTAGCCTGAGTGAAATTGGTCGAGATTTTCCCCAAGTGTTCCTACCGTAAATACACCGTACAGTCACGTAGTCGCAAAACTTTTTGCAGTATTTCATTTTTTCCAAAGCGCCCGTACTTTCAAAAAATGCGTCTTTGGTATCAAAAAATAGCCCTGAATTTCAGCTATTTTTTGATACCTAAGAGCGCATTGTAGCATAAACCAGTGTCGAGAAAAACGCGTCCAAAGCTAGACTACGCAACGCTCCGCACCGTCATTATGGGGGTGGGGTAATATTACAGTATTTACGGCAGGTATTATTGAATGTTATTGAATGTTCATAAGGATTTAAATCTACGGTTTTTGACAATATCCACATTGGAATCTTTTATATATTTTGACAGTACCGTTCCTTTTTTCCATTCCATTCCTCTGTTCTGTTAGTTCTTTCGAACGGGTAGAAAACGATGATTCTTCTCTAGGAAACAATTTCCAAAAGTTCTTTCGATATTCAGTCAAGTTTTAGAATATTTTCTATAGTTTTCTATTTTGTCTTTTGTTGATTTTAACTTTCCCTAGTCACTTTTTAGAATTTCGAACTGAAATGAAGCAATAAATCTGTTGTGCTTTTCATGAAAGTTTCAAACAAACGTTAAAACAAAAGTCAAAACAAAATCCAATTGGAAGAAACACAATAAATGCAGAGAAAATGAAATCATTGTTGAATAATGAATTCTCTTTATTGATTCCACTCTAGGAAACAATTTCATTAGTATTTTTATAGAGTTGGGCGAGTCCACAAAGAGTGAAACACACACATCATCAAGAGGCTCATTCTCTCGATTGTACCAAACAATCGTTATCAAATAGTAGTTAGCTTAGACTTATAGATTGTTCAATAGAGACTTTAGATGAAACTGTTGGCTGATTTTTAAGAAATCACAAATTTAAGAACCCCAAGAGCTTATGAACAACCAATATGAGATAGGTTTTTTCGATTTCAATTCACGGTTCTTGTTTCAATAAGTTTTCTACTCTTAAATTGAATTGAATTCATTCAGCTACGAAAGCGCTGTTCAATCAACATTGCCAAAAAATGTCATTAACGTCTTAAGTTTATTCTTAAACAGTGTTGAAATCAAATACTACGTGTTTTAACGATGTTCTTGATTTGGTTTGTATCCTTAAATCTTCATTAGTCAGATTTATTAAATATATTTTTGTTTCAATCAATGCTTTTTTGAATTGAATCAATTCTTTGTTTCAATTGAATCAATTCTTTGTTTTAACTCAATCAATGCTTTGCTTCAACTGAATCAATTCTTTGTTTCAATTAAATTAATTCTTTGTTTCAACTCAATCAATGCTTTCTTTCAATCCAATCAATGCTTCGTTTCAATTGAATCAATTCTTTGTTTCAACTGAATCAATTCTTTGTTTCAACTCAATCAATTCTTTGTTTCAATTAAATTAATTCTTTGTTTCAACTCAATCAATGCCTTGTTTGAATCCAATCAATGCTTTGTTTCAATTCAATCAATTCTTTGTTTCAAATGAATCAATTCTTAGTTTCAATCCAATCATTGCTTTGTTTCAATTCAATCAATGCTTTGTTTCAATTGAATCAATTCTTTGTTTCAATCCAATCAATGCTTTCTTTCAACTCAATCAATTCTTTGTTTGAATCCAATCATTGCTTTGTTTCAATTGAATGAATTCTTTGTTTCAATCCAATCAATGCCTTGTTTCGACTCAATCAATTCTTTGTTTCAATCCAATCGATGCTTTCTTTCAATCCAATCAATGCTTTCTTTCAATTCAATCAATTCTTTGTTTCAACTCAATCAATTCTTTGTTTCAACTCAATCAATGCTTTCTTTCAATCCAATCAATGCTTCGTTTCAATTGAATCAATTCTTTGTTTCAACTGAATCAATTCTTTGTTTCAACTCAATCAATTCTTTGTTTCAATTAAATTAATTCTTTGTTTCAACTCAATCAATGCCTTATTTGAATCCAATCAATGCTTTGTTTCAATTCAATCAATTCTTTGTTTCAACTCAATCAATGCCTTGTTTCAATCCAATCATTGCTTTGTTTCAATTGAATGAATTCTTTGTTTCAATTCAATCAATGCCTTGTTTCGACTCAATCAATTCTTTGTTTCGATCCAATCAATGCTTTCTTTCAACTCAATCAATGCCTTGTTTCAATCCAATCAATGCTTTGTTTCAATTCAATCAATTCTTTGTTTCAATCTCCAGAATCTTGAGCTTTTTTATTTCACTTTTTTCAATATTTCTAATTCAATATTCCTAATTCAATATTTTTGAATTCCATTCAAAAATATTGAATTGATTCCACAAAGCCATTCAAAATTTCGCTTTGAGATAATAAAATGCAATCTGTTGTGCTTTTCAAAAAAACTACAAAACTTTATTTCACAAACCAAGCCGAATACCAGAAAAAAAGAAGCAAAAGAATATAAAAAATGAATGAATCAATTTAGCTAAAGAAGTCAGATCTACACATAGAAATAATTTGTCTCAAAAACAAACAAAAACCATTTTTTTTTCCTCAATGTCCATTTAGTATATTGTTGACTCCATCAAGCAGCGAGGTTGCTGTTGATTCTAAAAACTGATGAGTTTAATAGTTATTGAATAGAATAGTTATTGAGTAGACTTGTTATTGAGTAGACTTGTTATTGAACTTAATGCCATTGCTAGTAATGACCGTGGCAAGCCACCTGTCACTCTTGAAAGACGTACTGATGAAGTTGATGGGACGAATCGGAGCGATCGACGGCGATGGAGGAGTGCTCTCGTCGGTCGACGAGCTTCTCGACATCGAACGAAGTGCCAGTGGTTCTTCTGAAATAGTAAGAGTAACAAATGGAAGTGGGAAATAGAAAACGAACTTTTCTAGAGACTAGAAATCAAATTATTGCACCAAAAAAGTCGACTTTGAATTTACAGCTACCAGAACTTTTCCTAAAGCTATTGCTACCAAGGTCAAGCCAGAGGATCAGGGTTTGGTCCCTAAAAACAAAACAAAAGTGCTATCAGGCACCGAACCCGCATCCTGTGGGTGGAAGTCTATTGCTTTATCCACTAAGCCACCAATGTACTTCGTTCCCTGCTAGGAAGGAGCCTTTTAAAGCATTTTCGGGCCCAATTTCGGTTCTATTTTTGCCAAGTTTTACTTTAAAAGGCTCCTTCCAAGCAGGCTGTCTTGATGGCTTAGTGGATAGCGCTTTAGACTTCTACCCACAGGATCATGGCTTCGGTCCCTGAAGCCTCTTGTTTTTCTTTTTCTTTTATTACAACTTCTAGCATTTCTGGCAGCTATTCAACCGCATTTTCGTCAAAGATGCAGCTTTTTTTAGTTGGACTTTAAGAGAAAGAGACTAGTTGGCAGTTGCAAAACCAGTAATGGATAAAATTTTGCTTTTCAACAACTCGAAAATCTTACCGTCAGTCGAGTTTCTTTGTTTCTCGATCGTGTTGCGGCGAACACGACAATGGAGCATTTGGCTCATCATTGGAACAGCAGACATCTGAAAGAATTTGTTTATTGAAAGTTGTTGGATCGTTTGAAAGCTATTGGATCGTTTTAAACCTAGTGGATCGTCTGAAAGCTGTTCAATCTTTTGAAAGCTATTGGATCTTTTGAAAGCTGGATCGTTTGAAAGCTATTGGATCGTTTTAAACCTAGTGGATCCTTTTTTTACTGACATTTAATTCTCGAAACATCTTCTATTCTTGTTTCTTTATCGTTTGACAATTCGAATTTGACAATTATTGACATTTCATTCGACATTTCAATTATTCCATTCGTTTAATCGATGATTTTGCGCACAATTTCTATGGAAAGATTTTCTCACTTTCTCCTTCCCCGTTATTTCTATTTGTGGTGATTTCCCGCACTCCTTTAGGGGATGAAGAGAAACATTCATCAATCACACAAATCTCTTTTCCATCTTTTCTCAATCTCAGTTCTCCCAGAGCAAAGGGTGATAGAGTTTTGGTGGAAAATGATTGATTTCTTTATTCATTTCTTATCAATTCCAACTATAACATCAAAAAACGAATTTTTCTTGACTCGTTGATAAAAGACTTAAAAAACTAAAAGATTGATGGGGTAAAAAAAAGAAAATTAATCTAATTTTGTAAACTTTTATCGCCTAGTGTATTAAAATTGAAATAGTTCTGATTGGACACGGGAATTTTAACCTACAGTAAATACTATAATAGTACCCCCCCATAATGACGGTGCGAAGTGTTGGTTGTCTTGTTTTTTCCGAGTTTTTCTCGACACTGGTTTATGCTACAATGAGCGCTTAGGTATCAAAAAATAGCCCTGAATTTCAGCTATTTTTTGATACCTAAGCGCACATTGTAGCATAAACCAGTGTCGAGAAAAACTCGTTCAAAGCTAGACTACGCAACGCTCCGCACCGTCATTATGGGGGTGGGGTACTATTTACGTATTTACGTATTTACTTACAGTATTTACGGTAGGAACACCTGGGAAAAATCTCGACCAATTTCACTCCGATCTTTTTGATTTTCATATCAATTGACGCAGAATTTAATTTTCTATCGATTGAAATCAAAGACAAAAATATTGGAGTGAAATAGATCAAGATCTAGGCATTTTTCCGTTGAACACCTATTGACGTTCAAACCGGGTCTCAGGCTCTCTCATGCCCAGGTCTGATTCTGAGCAATGAAAGGATTCAGTGCGCCACAAGAGACAGATTCAGTGCACTATTTTCCCGGAGAACTGAGAAAAACTAGCAGAAGTAGCTAATTTAAAATCAGCAGAAGTGTCATAGTTTCTATGGAAAATAGACTACGAATTTTTCGATCTTCGATAACCTTTATGAAAGTGAAAACTCACGATTGTTGTAGTTGTTTTGAGAAGTACGATTCAACACGCAAATAACGCTGTATCGACACGGATGGAGAGCTCACAGACGCCGAAGCAGATCACAGAACCCGAGCACCAGTCACGAATAAATGGAAGGACAGTAGCTGGATATACAGCCACCTGAAAAGATGGGTTTTTTTTGATAGAAAACTAGGCCAAATATCATGGCTCATTCAAATGGCTTTAACAGTTATTTGATTCTCAGAATGTTTTAATTTCAAGATTGCTAGTAAATCGGGGTACACGTTGTTCAAGAAGGCACTTTCAAGAAGGCCTTTTCTAGTGCCTAGCTTCGCCTAGAGTTAACCATTGCCCATAAAACTTTCTAGGAGAATTTACTGCTCATTTTCAACAGTTTACTTCGATATTTAACTCAGAAACTCAAAATTAACAATTCTATAGAACTTCAGATGTCTAAAACTCGAGAGCCTCTCGAACGCGGAAGCCTCTTGAAGCCTCTTGTGCCCAAATTTTGAACTTAAAGCATTACTTTAATCATGACTGCCCGATCATGGATGAAACAAGGGACCATGAAGATTGCGCCGGTGTGTAAAAACAGAAATTCCGCCGGATGAGATTGTCATTTACCAGCGCCTTCGCTTTTTCCATTTACCAGCGGCTTTTTACCAGCCATTTACCAGCGCCTTTTCTAGTGCCTAGCTTCGCCTAGAGTTAACTGCTCTGAAAAACCTCTGAAAAAGTTGCTGTTGAAATGGTCAAATCTCGTTTTTTTTTGTTGTACACCTATTGATAATAGACCGAAAATACAGCTCTGGTTTTCAAAAAGCAATTTTGTTAGTTGAAAACCGTTTAAAATCACCAATTTAACCAATTTTGTGGTTATAAACCATTAGAAAGCGTCAATTTTGTGCAAAAATTGAGGAAAATCTCGTGTAATCTCGTGAAATCTCGAACTTTTTGCCTTTAAACGGTTTGATTTATGAATTTTTGAGCTAAATTGAGTGGATTTGATTGGGTAAAGTAAAAGAGATTTAAGTATTTGGTTTTTAAAACGTAATTTGGCGTCTTTAACCTTTTCCAGGTTATAAATCCTTTTCTTTCAAATCAAATCTGCATTTAGCTTCTGCTTTTTACTTTTTACTAGAGAAATTTGATCTATTTTGGCTTTGTTTCCTGTCAAATTAAATGCAAAATCATTAGGAAAACAAAAAAAAAATGGATTTTGAATCGTAATATTGGATTGGTGAATTGAAAACTGCGGGCTATTGTCATATGTGACAGTTTGAGCACTTTCTTCAAAAGGAACCCATTTTGGTGTCAATGGAAAAGTTGTAGAGAATCAAAAATCAAGCTTATATCCAAATTTTCAGAACCATTCAAAAACTGGTTTTCAAGAAATGCGAAATTTACGAATTTTCACAAAACTTGCAACAAAACTTGGATTTTAAGCGAAACTACTAAGTGTATCTTTTTGGAAATTTGGCTATAAGCCTAATTTTTGATTCTCTACAACTTTTCTATTGACACCAAAATGGGTTTCTTTTGAAGAAAGTGCTCAAACTGGGCTGACAGCTGACATCTCCAGTCCTCGATTTTTGAGTCTCACACTTGTCTCACACACAAACCAAAATCCTACTACGAAAGAGGAATCCGCAAATTGCCTGTAAAATGGGCAGAAGTCGTCAATAATAATGGAAATTATTTGGAATGAATTCATGGTTTTATGTTCAATAAATTTTAGTTCAAAGTTTGGGACAGTTTTCAATTCACCAACCCAATAGATTATAGATCAACTTAGATTTTAGCTCAGCTATCGTAGTAACAGCTCAGCTATCAGCTCAAGTAACAAAATCGAATCCATTTCAGAAACATAAACCCACTTTAAACGAATCGATGAGAAGCGATACGGATGAAGACAACGCTGTATCACTTGTTGGGCCAACTAGCATAGTATGTTGCAAGAATCACAGTCCATAGAGGTGGACGAAAATCGTTTTGGCTCGCAAAGAAAAGCGAAAGATTCGATGAAGGAAAGTGGTTGAGAGAAACTCGCGCACACTAAACGTTTCCCCGCCAACGAGCCGCCTTTATGGGGATGCCACGCAAAAAAAGGGGGCGGGAAACCCCTCGATCATTCGATGACAATCAATCATGTGAATCTTCTCGTTTTCTCTAATTATCTCAATTTCTAATAATATTTAGGGGGGAATCCCCCAAAAAGTCGTAAAAGTCGTAAAAATCATAAAATGAAAGCACTCAAAGTGCATAGTAAACTCTTTCACATGATCTCATCTTCTTTTGTCTTCTTTTGTCTTCTTTTTCTCTTTTAAAAACTGATGTATGATGAAATTGATTAATTGTTTGAGTGAGAGAAAGCAGGAACTTTTTTTTTGGTGTAAACAAACAGGTAAATTAGGGATGTGTTTCGAAATTTAGTGAATGGATAAATGGAAAATGAAAAGGTCTAATTCTCAACCATCAACCAGGCTTTTAAACAGGCTTGCAGGCTTATAACTAGTTTAGAAACAAAGACCAGCATTAAAAACACAGAAAAAGCTGAAAACTGAAACTGAAGCTGAAAACTTTTCCATAAAATTAAGAAAAGAAAAAAAAAAGGCTAGTAGAAGACTCGAACTCAAGCAAAACGAGCAATTGCCGCCTTGCACCCCGGCCCCTTAGCCACTGCGCCATCTGATCTAATAAGCCTCCCGCGAGAGAAACGTTTTAACTCGCGAGGGATCTCGCTTCTAGCGAGATGACCTCTATATCTTCTTTCTTCTATACTTCTTCTATATCAGATATCTCAGGTTTGCGGGCGTATGTGCAGCTGATTTCTGCACCATTGCAATCAGCATAGCCAATTCTACAACTTCTATCTAGGCATCGGGCGATCAGCGAAGTCGAGGGTACTTTCCTTGTTATTTTCTTCTTTATACTTCATACCAGTTCAATGATTTCCTTTCACAAGCTACTTTTTTCACTAAACTTTAGTATCAGTTTGCTTTCAACTCAATTGCAATTCACCTTAAAGCTTTTAATAAACGCATGGAAATTTCGGAGCCTGGGGACGTGGCGGGACTCGAAATCACCGCAAAAAAACGGTGTGATTTCTGTAGTCCGCCATACTATCCTCCAGGCCACCGTTCTATCCACCTTCAGGCCACCACACTATCCTTCAGGCCTTTTTTCGCTCTTCAGCATTCGCTCTTATTGGCTAGAGAGCGATTTTTCGAAAATGGTCGAACCTTAACCAGGATTTTAAACTTGGACAAAAACTGAATAGATATTTGGAATGCCCATATCTGACTGGTGTTTGCACTCCGAGCTTATCCTGAATTGAAATGCCAGTTTCAAGGATTTCAACCAGGATTTCAATCAGCCTCAGTTTGGATCATTCCCTTTTAAGATACAGGGCACTTAGCCAGTCGGTCGTGGCGGACACGGACGTGATAATGTGCACAATATGATACATTTTGGAAACATTCTCAACTTCAGTACTTTCATTGCTTCATTGTTTAAATGTAGATTGTTTTCAGCTGGCTTGGAGCTTCGGAAAACATCGGTGCACTAGATGCCAAAAGATCGGTGCACTAGGTGCACTAGATGTCTAAAGAATGCACCAAATTTAATGTTTAGGTAGATGGCTTCAATTCAAACACCATAATTTGAAACTTTTTCTAATTAGAGGGAAATTATTGGAGGAATTTTCAAATCATATTTCGTGACTTATATTCGAGTAATTGTTTTAAAAAAGTACACAGTAATTTCGCCATATTCTTGCCGTAACAGTCGATTGTAACGTCTAGACGAGAAAACAATAGAAAAATAGGTCTAGACTTGCACGTAAGACTTGCAAAAGACTTTGCATCACACTGATTTCAGCATTGACTGTGATTATCTCTGATCACTCGTGACAGATTTCAAAGACCAAAACACGTTGATGTTTTTCGGGAACAAATACCAGAGACCTGAAAACTGCAAATAAAAATATCCTGACTGTTTTCATCTGATGAAATGATCAATGAAAATAAACCATTAGGTACATGCATAAGAAATGCGGAACTAAACATTTCCATAAATTTCCAACGATAGAAACCTGATATCGATGAATGTTATAAACTATGTGAAAGTTGCAAATCTCCTCTACAAAATAGGCTAAAACGTGTTTCAATTGATTGAAGAAATTGAAGAAATTTCGAGGCCGAAATGCGAGTGACCAAAAAAAGAGCACTTTTTGAAAACCCCACTTTCACAAGAGTTCGGTTTTGACTATATAGTGGAAAATGACCGAAAAATCATTGAAAATAATTAAGAGTTGGGATCATTTCATGGGAAAACTTTGTTTTTACAATAATTTTTCTTTTTTGTGACAAAGCCGCTTTTTGACAATTTTGAGGGTTTTGAACTTACGCTCTATCTAAATTTCTGTAAATGCATTTCCGTTAAACTTTTCTAATGAATTGATATATAGTTATCCTTTTTCTTTTTAAATCTTCAATTTTAGCAATCTAACTCTATTTTGATCACACTAAACTTGTCCCTAAAGTGACTCGATTCCTTTTTTGGTCACTCGCATTTCGCCCTCGAAATTTCTTCAATGGTTCGATCAATTGAAACACGTTTTAGCCTATTTTGTAGAGGAGATTTACAACTTTCAAATAGTTTATAACATTCATCGATATCAGCTTTCTATCGTTGGGAATTTATGAAAATGTATTGCTTATCTTATCTTACCTAATGACCTAATAATAAATATGTATTGCTTATCTTTTAAAGGAAATTTGAATTCCAATTCAATTCCATTCCAATTCCAATTCAATTCCATTCCAATTCCATTCCAATACCATTCCAATTCCATTTCAATTCCATTTCAATTCCATTTCAATATTCTTGATTTTTCAACACATTTCCTTTCAATAAAGTTTCTGTGCATTGTGTTATTTCTCATAGAAAAACTAGGATAATCTCTGTGACGAAATCTCTGTGATGGGTGATGTGATCTGTTTGATTTCTTGATCTTTCAACTGTGTTTAGAGATCAAACAATCAACGCTGACCTTGCCCGGTAAGATGTCACTCATTGATTATCATAAAAGAAGCAATTTAGAAGAATCTAGGTATCTAGGAAATGGTAAATAAAGGAATCTAGGCATCTAGGAATCTAGGAATCTAGGAAACGGTAAATAAAGGAATCTAGGAATCTAGGCATCTGGGAATCTAGGCATCTAGGAATCTAGGCATCTAGGAAACTAGGCATCTAGGCATCTAGGAAACGGTAAATAAAGGAATCTAGGAATCTAGGAATCTAGGCATCTAGGAATCTAGGCATCTAAGAATCTAGGCATCTAGGAAACTAGGCATCTAGGCCTCTAGGCATCTAGGCATCTAGGAAACGGTAAATAAAGGATAAAACTAGGTATGGTAAATAAAGGAATAGTTTTTTTTGTCTTTGGATGAAACAACTATTCCTTTATTTACCGAAAAGGTACCCATTTCCCCTTTACTTCCATATGATCTCGCCCAAAAAGGGATCAACTCAACTCAAATCATCTCAAATCATCTCAAATCTCATATCTCAAATCCTTTTTATCTAAAAGGTCACCAAAAAAGGTGCGACGTGTTTTTCTTTTCGAATCTTTTCAATCTTTTCCATCCGATTTTCAATCCGATCATCGGGGTCCATTTTCGAGGTCGATCCTGTCAATTGAGATCTCATTCCGTGGAAATCATTTCTCATTTCATTTTTAAGAGATTTTCTCTTCACTTTTTTATCTGTAACCGTATTTAGACGCCTAAAATGAGCGATGATTGGATCTACTATCGCGATCAGCGCAAAAAACTAGAGAACTGAAGAACTGAAGCTTCCCGAAAATCTCAGAAATCATTTAGAGCGTTCTTTGGTGTGAAGAAAAGTGTAAAAGGATTCAAATATCGATTTTATTTTGTTCAATTGTTCAAATGTTCAATTCTTTTGTTAATTAGTAAAAAAGTGAAGGAATTGACAAGAAAAAGTCAGAGAGAGGATTTAAGCGTCGACTTTTTGCTTTCCAGGCTCTAGCCACTGATTTACTGAGCCGCTGTAATAAAGAAGTGAAGGAATTGAGAAGAAAAGGTAGATTTCTAGAGGGGATTGTACCCTGAACCTTTTGCTTTTCGGGCTCTAACCTAACTCGAATTGCTCTAACCTATCGTATTTCTTCGAATAGAAGACCGGGTAAAGAGTATCATCGCGTACTCCTGCGTAGCCCCCCTTTAAACTCTCTTTTTTTTCATAAAAGCTTTCAATCAAGTGCTAAGAGCGTGGAAAATGACTCAAAAATCTGTTAGCTCATGTGGCATTTTTGAGTCATTTTCCAGCCCTATAGCACTTCATTGAAAGCTTTTATGCGAAAAAGAAAGTTTAAAAAGGGCTGCTACGCAGGAGTACGCGATGATACTCTTTACCCGGTCTTCTATTCGAAGAAATACGGTAACTCGAATTGCTCTAACCTGACTCGAATTGCTCTAACCTAACTCGAATTGCTCTAACCACTGAGCTATTCAGTACCTTAGCTTGTCAAGAGAAAGAGGGAAAGACAAGGGGAAAGAAGAAAGGAAGAAAGAAGAAAGATAGGAAGAAAGGAAGAAAGGAAGAAAGGAAGAAAGAAGAAAGGATGAAAGAAGAAAGATAGGAAGACAAGAAGATAGGAAGAAAAAGCAAACCACAAAAGCAATTAATGAGAAAACATTTCGATTTCTTTATCTTTATTTTGAGAGAGATGAGTTCCTCATTGGATCGTTGTTTTCATTCACATGATTTCACACGCTGTAATTGATTACCAAAGTTTTTGTTCAAGATTTCATGAAATCAATTATGTTTAAACATTAATTATTCCATAATTCGTGGCTGATTTTAAATTATAATAAAACAGCAACACCAAAGCCAAACGTCAAAACAATTTGCCAGCTAAAGTACCGAATGCAAATCCTGGGCCAGACCAGTTGATGGCTACTTTGCGCAACTCGCCATAACTTTCTTCTAAGTGGTCCAATCTTTATGATGTTGGTTTCATTTTGTTACACTTATTGAGATCTGCAAAATGAAACCAAAATCATAAAGATTAATCCACTTAGAAGAAAGTTATGGCGAGTTGCGCACACGACCCAGTTGCGCACACGACCCAGTTGCGCACACGACCCAGTTGCGCACACGACCCAGTTGCGCACACGACCCAGTTGCGCACACGACCCAGTTGCGCACACGACCCAGTTGCGCACACGACCCAGTTGCGCAAAAAATTTGGCGCAAAGCAGCCACCCCTCTCAATAGCTCAAATGGCTTGAGTTGCAAGCAGGTGTTGCAAAGACTGGAACAGACAACCATTTTAGGTTTCTTTGAATTATTGGATCGAATCTTATCATTCGATCCGGATCGAAAACCATGGCTGATGTCTAGTGTACATAACCAAGAGGACTTCGACCCTTCTCAAAAACCAGCATTCTTTCAAACACGACAGATCAACTCTCTGCAAATTTATGGCGGTAATTTGATTTTTTTTTTGGTTCCAGCTTGGTAGCTGTACTTTAACTTTTTTGGTGATAAATAAGGTAAAAATCGAAATAAAATGCAAGTCAAGCAAGTTGTCGCTTTAGAAATCGAGCAATCACTTTGGAAAATCTTAACAGGTAGAATTTTTACGTTTTAAGGAATAAACATCGTTGTCGTGACGATCTCGTGATCGAGATCGCCACGATGGCCAGCTAGGCACCTATGTGGACAATGGAAATGGCCAGCTAGGCACCTATGTGGACAATGGAAATGGCCAGCTAGGCACCTATGTGGACAATGGAAATGGCCAGCTAGGCACCTATGTGGACGAACGCCTATTGTGCGAGATTTAATATGCGTCGCTATCCGTTCAACTCCATTGTGTGCAAGACGAGACCAACGCCTGAGTTCCGTATAAAAGCAATGTGAACGAGCTGCCGACGTGTGCCGTGGAGTGTCTCTACTCTCCCAATCTCAAACCACTGAACCAACTATTATCGCTGTAATAAAGATTATATCTAAACCAACAATAATCACTACAATGGTTTTGAGCCAGGCTGTCCAGAACTTTGTACTTTCGTTGAAAATAACAAATTCACAAATTAAATTATGCTTTGCTTTAAATGAAAAGTGTTTATTGTTCAATTTTCATCTTTTTAAGTCAATTTTGGTTCACTTTCAAGCAAATTCGAGCGTGAACGAGACGTGTTTATCGCAAAAAATCTATGAAAACCTCTACGAAGAAGTTGGATGAATGAATTTCTCTGAAAACTTGGCTATATACAAAACTCTTTGTGCTCTATCTTTTATCTATTGACAGAAAGATTGGTTTCCATTAGCGAAAGTATGTTTAAACCGCCAGAGAAGCCACTAAAGAACAAAAAAATAATTTTTTTGACTACCCGACTTCACACTCCCAAAAAGAATCCAATACAGCTCGTTCCTGTGCACGGCTTAAAACATATCCTCTACTAAACAGCCAGGTCATTTTCCAGAGAAGTCTACGAACATTCGAATGGCGGTGTCTAAACCAAAGTGTCTAAACCGCATCATCGAACCGTCGCCATTTTTTAGCTACCCAACATCAAGCCCCCAAAAAGAATCTAAAAATAAGACATTTTAAACCAGTTTTAATGCTATTTTGCAGAAAAATAAGTGGCCTTTTTAATGGAATAAACAGGAATTCAATTGGTGCATTTGTTTTTTTTAAACGGAAGTACGAAAAGGAACGTAAAGACCTCCTGAAAAGCCTAATCGGTAACACTTCCTAGGCCTACCTCCTCCATGACAAAGTAGGTCGACTCCTGAAAAATTGTCGAGCTATCGTCTGCGCAAAACCGAAAGGGCACCACCAAGTTGGAAAGAATTCCTAAGAAGCTCTGTTATTGTTGTCATTGTCCTAGAAGCTCTGTTATTGTTTCTGTTTGTTATTGTCCTGTTATTGTCCTGTTATTGTTCAACTTGTCGTACCTTTTGAACAGCCGGCAAACTAACTAAAGACATTTTAAACAAGTTTTAATGTTATTTTGCAGAAAAATAAGTGGCCTTTCTAATGGAATAAACAGTAGTTCAATTGGTGCATTTATTGGTTCTTAAACGGAAGTATGAAAAGGAACAAAAAGACTTTCGGTACAGCTTCATGCTGTAAAGTTTTATGAACAGTATTTAGGCTTTAATTTTTGGAACAAAGTAAGGTACACGAGTTGAGTTTTATGGACACGACAGTTGTCGACTTTTATTGACTTTTAAAAACGATGCTAGATTACTGTAAAGCCGACTATATATAAAAGAGTAGTGTCTGTCTGTCTGTAATGGGCATTTACTCGGCCATGTCTTGATCTGTTGGCGTTAAGCGGAAGCACGAAAAGGAAAGAAAACCCTTTCTGGACACCCAAATAACAAACAAATGAAAAAGTCTAAGAGATTTTGATCTAAGCGAGCTTTTGTCTTCTAAAAATCTTCAAAACATCTCCAAGAACTTTTCCACTTTGTGAAATCCCTAAAAATCTTATGATTTTCACATGTTCAATGTGGAAAAAAAGATTGCAGAGCTGTTTATCATTAAATGGAAAGAAAAACCTGGAATCTAACAAAAATTACTAAAATATTCCCAAAAAAGGACTTGACACAAGTGTTTTTTCGATATTTTGCGATATTTTGCTCAATTTTCTCAAGTATTTCATGTTGATCTAGTATCTGTTAATGTTAATGATAAATCAACTGATAAATCAGAGATAAATCAGAGATAAATTACAGATAAATTGGTGAAAATTGGTGAAAATTGGTGAAAATCTTTATCAAAAAGCGCACACTTATCCCTTGTGACCTCTCAAAATTGAGAAGCAAGTAAGGGAAAGGAAAAGGAAGAAAGAAAAGGAAGAAAGAAGACAGAAGAAAGGAAGAAGAGAAAGAAGAAGAAAAAGAAGAAAAGAAAAAAGCAAAAAAAAAAAAAAAAAAAAATTTAATCCATCCAAAAAAATGATGGATTGAGGATCGAATTTTCGGATTTCCCGAAATTTTTCCCCAACTTGTACACCACCAAATTCGTGGTAAACAGCTGGAAATTGATCTCTGTTAAAATCTCTGTTTAAATTTATCGGTTTTTCGACGAATAAACCCGGTTTTGAATGGGAAAATCTTATCAGAAAGGTTTTTTTTTAAAGAAAACAAAAAGTAGAGAAAAGTTTCTTTTTAATCGTCGTGATTTTGCAAAATTCGTCTAAATTTGGATGATTGTGCAAAATGCGCGTAAACACGTGCAGAAAGCAGCGAGTTTGGGAGAGATGTCGACTTGAAACGATCCAAATGGAAATGTTGGTAAGAATCTTATGAAAAAATGAACTGTAGCAGTTACAAAGTCAGTTACAAAGTCAGTTACAAAGTCAGTTACAAAGTCAGTTACAAAGTCAGTTACAAAGACAGTTACAGAGTCAGTTATAAAGTCAGTTACAAAGTCAGTTACAAAGGCAGTTACAGAGTCAGTTACAAAGGCAGTTACAAAGTCAGTTACAAAGTCAGTTACAAAGTCAGTTACAAAGTCAGTTACAGAGTCAGTTACAAAGGCAGTTACAAAGTCAGTTACAGAGTCAGTTACAAAGTCAGTTACAGAGTCAGTTACAAAGTCAGTTACAAAGGCAGTTACAGAGTCAGTTACAAAGTCAGTTACAGAGTCAGTTACAAAGTCAGTTACAAAGGCAGTTACAGAGTCAGTTACAAAGTCAGTTACAGAGTCAGTTACAAAGTCAGTTACAAAGTCAGTTATAAAGTACAAAGTCAGTCAATTACAAAATTCCAAATGATTTGAGATTTGATTGATGCATGCAATGAGATTACTTTGTATAAATCTATCAATTCTTTGTGCTTATTGTCTACAACGGGAATCTCCGACAAAGAGAAATCTCAAGGTAGCATTTTTATAGCTTATAGACATTGCTTATAAACATTGCTTATGTTTTAGGGAGCCAATAAGCCCAAACCGATGTCACCGGATGAGTGGTTGCGTAAATTGGAAGCCGGTGGACAAGATGAGGACGACGATCGAGAAGAAGAACCACTTCGAATCGGAAGTCAAAGGAAAAGACCGAAAAAATGTGGGCTTTGATGATTGGGAATCTTTTAAATGATTATGCTGCATTTATTTGCTCAAATGAATGCTCAAATGAATGAATCCGTTTCATATTTCTTTATTCACCCCCGCAAAAAGAGGTTTTATGGAGAATGGGTGAAGATATCGAGCTATTTTCTTTTACAATAGAAAGGCCACATTAACACAGTAAAACCCTAAAAACACCGTTTTTGCGTTACTGGATTTTCTCAACAAAACAAAAGACTAAGAAAGAAGATTCTGCGACCGTTTCACATTTCTTTAATGTGAAATTTCAATTCATTTCTTTCAAGCTTTAATTCTCAGCTATATTAACTCACAAAGAGTTTTTTTGCTTGGAAAAAGTTTCGGATCCTTAAGATGAATCGAGAGGGGCTCACAACAAACACCACTCGGAGCGCTACATCTCCGAGTCTTCTCGGCTATCGATTCTCGTTCGACTGATCGACTGATCACTTCAGGAGCACTCTACTTCACTGAACATAATCATCCCTCACAAGTTGTCAGCTCCTTGCTTAACCGAGATGAGTCTGTGTGGATGTATAACCGACAAGTACCCATTTTTCTTGGTGTTCTATTAGGTTGGCAAGTTGTAAACGATCGTTTTTGGGTAATGTGTTTTCTGAAAACAACGGCTTATCCAATCAAAAAACGGTTTGCTTCATTCAAAAGCCCTATTCTTAATCTACAAAATGGTTTTTTTGAATTTTTGAAAAATCTTTTATTTTAGAACTTTTTCAGGCATTTTAATGTAAGAGTTGAAAATCCAGGTTTCTAGCATTCATGAGCTAATATTGGGTTGATGCATAATTATCCGGACTTCTTTTATAAATGATTTTATTTAACAAAAAATAACATAAATAGTTAGAAAAATATGTTTAATTGATTATTCTGGAGCATATTCACCGCCTACATCAATAACTGATTGCCATTTGCTTGGAAGACGATCGATTCCACGAGCGAAGAATAAACGATCTTTGGAGGCAATCCACGCTTTAACATCGTCTATCAAGTCATCCAAATCGTTGTAGATCTTATTTGTTTGCCAATTTTTGAGCGATCGATTGACGTGGTAGTCCGTTGGGGCTTCTCCAGTTCTTTGAGATCGCGAAACGACTCTGCGGCAGACCATCCCTTTTCGAAGTGGTAGAGCATGATATGGCGAAGATGGATATGATTGTCGACACGCATTTTGTTCACTAAAGAATAACGAATATTTAAAAAAAAGAAATAGACAAAAAGCTTTCAAAACAAAAAAGATACAAGCACGCAAAAAGAAGTCCGGATAATTATGCATCAACCCAATATATTTTTGAGTGATAATAATACTTTATTCAAACGATAAAGTGAAAGAAATCATAGAGAAATGCACAGTGATACTTAATCATACAATACATACTGAAATCAATAAGCCAATTACTTACGGCAAAGAGCCACTAGATCTAAAGCATCAATACGTTTCTTGAATATGAAAAGCGACTGAATTTCTCGTATGTCGTTTGGGAGCAAGTTCCATAATCTAGCGATTAGTGATTGCATACTTTTTAAAATAAAACGCTTCATCGATTACATAGTTTCCCAAAATTTTATTTTGGGAAACTATTTATTTATTTTCCCAAAATATTTTATTCCGAATCTAGCACAATCACTAATCTTTATTCTTTATTTACATCTTTATTTATCTCTCGTAGGATTGCATTTATCGCACGTGTCTAAAATGCAAAACTTTCAAGGAAATTTAAAAATACGTACCGCTCCCAAACAATCAATTAGTAACTATTAGGGTGGTGCAAAAGAAACTGCCGATTTGACGGTAAATTCAAAAAAAAAGATGGCGTTCAATGGTGACATGATCACAATGGAATATTTTCGCAAGATCTCGAGCAGATTGGCATGGATCGGTCTGAATAACGTCCCTCAGCTTGGCTTCGTTCACGACTTCTGGCTTGGAACCGTGCTCGTAATCTTCCAAAGCCTCGTCTCCCTGAATCGTTGAAACCAAGTCTGACATTGCCTGAGAGACAAACTGCCATCTCCGAAAGCAGCACAGAGAGAACGATGCGATTCGGCAGCAGACTTTCCAATTTTGAAGTTAAACAGTAATGCTGCTCGTAGCACAAACTTTTGCTCGACCATGATCTAAATAAAAAATAAAAGCATTTAAAAATAAAATAAAAAAACAACCAAAAAATTGAAATGTCGAAATAAATAGCAAACAAATATGCGAACAAAACATGGAAAAAATGGTTTTTTTTGATAAATTCCCCCCCTCTTTTTTTTTTTTTCCCCCCCCCCATATTTTTTTTTATTTTTATTTTTATTTTTTTAACCCCCAAAAACACCCCCCCCCCCCCCCCCTTTTTTGTTGGAAAAAATTTTTTTTTTTGAAAATTTTCCCGTGTTTTTCCATTTTTTTTTAATTTTTTTTTTTTTATTCAACTTTCCCCAAAATCAAAAAAAAAAATTTCCCCTTTTTCCCCCCCCTACCCCCCCCGCCCCGCCATCTTTTGTTTTTTGTTTTGCTTGTTTTTTTTTTTCTTTTTTTAATGAATTTTAATATTGGTTAATAATGCCGTTAGCATCGCTCGTTTCTGATAAATGAGAGCTGATACCCATCGGCTGTTTCTTTTGCACCGCCCTAATACAATAAATAGAATCAATTGTTGGTACAGTGTTTCAAAGCCAAAGAAAGAGAATACAAAGTGAGCTCCGTCCCCTTTTATCACACAAATGATCTTTAGAGGAAGGACAATAGAATCAGAGATATTCAAAATCAAAGCATCGGTCGCGTCCGTTTCCATCCTAATTACGTTGCTATTTTGCAATTATTCGCGTCGCATTCTTCGTCTTTTTTCTCCCTTCCAGAAGTTATTTTTTTTTGGTCTGCGGGTTTTTTTTTGGCCTTCTTTCTGGGGGAACTTTGTTGTTTCATTTTTGATGCGCATGCTGTTTTTGTAATGGGTATTGTTGCATTTCGGTTCTGTACTAATAAACAGTAACGTTATAAATTCACTTTACTTTATGTTACCCTTCAGGTTTTAAATCCTGTTTAGATAACTTGTTTAACACTGTAGAAAGAACTTACTAACATTTGTGCCGCCATCGACGTAGTATCAATCCGGGTACTTGTGGAGTATCCGGGGGGGCTTTCAATATCCGGGGGGTAAAATTTTAAGATCCGGGGGTAAAATTTTATATACGTTATACACGACCCCTTTTAAAGATATTCAGCCGCTTAAGTGATTTGGTGGCAATTTCCCTTCAAATGTAAAGATATTCAATTTATTGAGGTGATTACTTGATTACGTGATTCGAGGTGATACTCGATCAAAAACGTAACTTCTACAAAATTTTTTTATGTCATTATTAGAAATGTTGATAATATCCTAGTTGGCGGCAAACATTTTCACCCTAAATTGATGAAATTCTATTTAAAACGCTAAAATTAACGCAAAATGATATAAGTTTAAAGGTTTAAGTTTAAGGGTTTAACAAAAGGTTAAACATTTGCCTCAAGAATTTCATTTTTAGTTACAAAGCCTATGGTAAATGTAAAATTTCACGGAATCTGCGTTAATCTATTGATCTTTAGACCATTAATCAGATCATGAGCAATATTTTCGTTCTTCTTTTAAACTCTGAAAGCGATAGGTGCAAAAGATTGATAAAAGTAGCAGAATGGTCAAAAAGTAAAAAAAAAAAAAATAAAAAAGTTAAAATTTTACCCCCCCCGATCTTTAAATTTCCCCCCCGGATCTTAAAATTTTACCCCCCCGGATATTGATAGACCCCCCCGGATACTCCACAAGTACCTCAATCCGATCTGTACTCTTCTCAAGAGTATTAATCTATTGTTGGATATTGTTGGATACTACGTGTTCTTGTTACGTTGTAAGCGCTTTTGGGGAAACCCTTTTAACCTTTTGTGCTATTCGGCCATTCTTAAGCAGAATCATCCTCGTTGATAAGGTTAAAGCGGGTCGCACCTCAAACTCATCAAAGCATCCGGGAACAAAGCGATATTTAAGAGATCAACAAAAGGACTACGGATTGATAATTGGTTCCTTTTTTTTTTTTTTTTTTTTTTTTTTTTTTTTTTTTTTTATTTTTTTTTTTTTTTTTTTTTTTTTTTTTAAAAAATTATTTTTATTTTTTTTTAAAAAAACAAAAATTTAATAAAAAAAAAAATTTTTTTTTAATTTTATTCATTATTTTTTTTTTTTATTAAATTTTTTTAAAAAAAAAAAAAATCCCCTTTTTTTTTTATTTTAAGACGCAAAAAGTATCATCGTGGCGTTCCTGCGTAGCAGCCCCTTTTAAAATTCATTAGACTTTTGTGCATAAAAAGCTTTCAATCAAGTTTAATAGGGCTGGAAAATGACTCAAAAAATACCACATGAGCTAACAGATTTTTGAGTCATTTTCCAGCTCTCTAGCACTTGATTGAAAGCTTTTATGCAGAAAAGAAATTTTAAAAAGGGCTGCTACGCAGGAGTACGCGATGGTACTCTTTACCTGGTCTTCTATTCGAAGAAATACGGTATTCAGATTTCTGGATTTCTGGATAATCGCGCGTTTCCTCGGAGAATCCTCGGAGAATCCTCGGAGAATCCTCGTTGAATCTAAAAAAGATATTCTAAAAGAGATGAAAAGGGAAGAGTTGTCATGCTTTGATATTATCCGCTCCGCTCGATTACCCGCTCGATTATCCATAAAGATCCAACACGAAAACTATCAGAAATATCAGTTCTCAAATCCTGTTGATCTTCGAATAAAACTGTAGATCTTGCTAAAAATGTCATACTTTTGGCTAGCGCTTCATCGATTTTGAACGCTTCATCGATTTTCTCCACTTCTCTTGTCTCGTTTCCAGCTGAATCAACGGTATTCTAAAAAACGAGAAGAGTTGTCATGCTTTGATATTGCTTTTCAACAGCAAAATATGGCATTGAACACTTTTTAGCATTCAAAATCATTGCTAAACGTTCTAGCATCGATTGCTTTACAATCTCTTCACAATTTTACGATTTTTTATGATCTCTAAAGTGTGAAGACGAGTTCTATTGATTTTTAAATCCTTTTTATTTTTGTGTTCAAGTTCACCAAGAAGCTACGTCGGTCGGTTTTCTTATCACTTGTCTCCACAGAATATTTCCCTTTCTCCAATCACAGACACTAAACGCCGCTTTTATGCGCAATTGATTGGAGAAAAAAGAAGAGAAGAAGAAGAAGAAAACCTCTCGACAAATCGCTTAATTGGGCTTTTCTACTCGCCAAAAGTCGACTTTTTACTCATCTTTGAATTTTTTAGAATTAATTTCTTAATTTTCAAGTTTCTAGCAATAATTTGAAAGCTATTTGGGCTTTAAAGCCACTATTTAAGCTTTAAAGTCACTATTTGAGCTTTAAAATCACTATTTAAGCTATTTAAGTTCATAGATCGATGGTTTATTACGCAGTTTCTCTCTAGTACTACGATTTTTACGATCTTTACTATCTTTAACATCTTTTATCTAGTAAGATAGGGCCTTAATGTAATGCTAGATCTATATTGTGCATACAATAAGACTACAGTAAGACTCTAACTTACTGCAGTACTAGATATTCGAATACTTGTCGGCGTAGCACATTGGTAAAGCTTTCGAGCGGTAAACGAGCTCAAAGCTCGCTCAAAGCTCGCTCAAAACTCGCTCAAAGCTCGCTTAAATCTTGCTTAAATCTAGCACAAAGCTCGCTTAAATCTTGCACAAAACTAGCTCAAATCTCTGCCTTAACCCGATAAGAATCCAACTCTATAGATACAGTACTGGACAATGAAATATGATATTTGAAAAACGATCACCACTTTCGCGCGTCTGTAACTCCCTTGTCTTTAAGTTTAAACTATTAGTGTTATACATTTTCTGAAAGCTCTTTTCAAGGGCTACACAATGGTAATATTAATATTTAGAAATACGGTAAAGACAAGGGAGTTACAGACGCGCGAAAGTGCGAAAGTGTTTTTTCAAATATGATATTTCATTGTCCAGTAGCTCTAAAATTTGACTTAAACTATAGAAAATTTCTTTGAAAATGTTTAAGATTAAAAGAATAAGTTGATCTTTATCATTTCCAGGAGCTATGGCCGACGAGGTGCTACGAGACATCAATCTCAAGCAACGATTCAGCGCCTATGATCTCTTAGGTTTTTTAAGATTTTGAAAGGATCGAAAATTGAGCAAAAAATCAAAAAAAAATCAATATTTTGATCAAAAAAATCGTAGAAATTTATAGAAATCAATAGTAAAAGCTAAGCTTTCAAATAGCTAAGCTTTCAAAGGGCTAAGCTTTCAAATAGCTAAGCTTTCAAATAGCTAAGCTTTCAAATAGCTAAGCTTTCAAATAGCTAAGCTTTCAAATAATATAGAATATTGAATAAATATTGAAGTTTAATGCACAAACAAAATAAAGCCAAATTTCAGGACCCCTAGTCGTATGGGCTATTTTCTTCGGCTTTGTTTTGATCTTCTCGGTTACATTTCTTAATTGGTAAAGTTTCAAATCAAACTATAAAATTGTATAAAAACTAAAGATCTATAAGAATCTATGAGCAAAGATATCCCTTAAAAACAAGTTATTTTTCAGGTTCTGCGTTCGAGAAGACGATGACATCACGGTGATGGAAGAGGTAAGAAATTCGCTAGCAATTTGCTAACAATTTGCTGTTACTTGAAATCCTTTAAATAGAAATAGCCTTTAAATCGAAATAACCTTTAAATAGAAATACCCTTTAAATAGAAATACCCTTTAAAATTATCTCCATAGCACTTAGCTTTCACTTACAGACAAGCTTTCGCTTACAGACAAGCCTTCGCTTACAGACAAGCCTTCGCTTACAGACTTACAGACAAGCTTTTACTTACAGACAAGCTTTCGCTTACATTAAATCATTTAGTGGGCCTACAACCACAATTTGGGTCTCCGTCTCGGCCCACACAGACATTCAGTGGTGGCGCGAAATGTGAACAAGCATCGCGGCGAGATTGAAATCGAAGAAGAAAATGCTGCTTCGTAAATGTTTTTTTTTGCGGATTTTCTTTGAGATTCAATAAATAGTTTATCCTTTTTCTGAAGGATGAAAAAATCGTTTCTGTTGAAGAGTCGACTCTGTTGAAGAGTCGACTCTGTTGAAGAGTAGGCGAAAAACGAGTGCCTTTGCAAAGTGCAAAGCAAAGTGCAAATGAACAACCTAAATCCAACTACCATAAATACTGTAATAGTACCCCACCCCCATAATTAGCGCAGAATTTAATTTTCTATCGATTGAAATCAAAGACGAAAAGATTGGAGTGAAATTGGTTAAGGTATTGGCATTTTCTATTGGACATCAATTGACGTTCAAACCGAAAATTCTCAGGTCGAGTGAATTGGATAATCTAGGCTCTAAAGTTTAAAACAATAATCAAATACAATCTCATAACTACGTCCCGAATCTTTAGGGCTACGTCCCGAATCTTTTTGGAATCATCCCGTATGCTGGGATCGACTTGGGCGTCTATGAGACTATGAAAAATCTCTACTTAAAGCGGAATCCAGAGGTGAATCTTGAGTATTGATAAAAGTTGGATAACATTAAGAAATCCACCTACCGTAAATACTGTAATAGTACCCCACCCCCATAATGACGGTGCGCTAGCTGGACTAGCTTTGAACGAGTTTTTCTCGACACTAGTTTATGCTACAGTGAGCGTTTAGGTATCAAAAAATAGCTGAAATTCAGGGCTATTTTTTGATACCAAAGACGCATTTTTTGAAAGTACGGGCGCTTTGCAAAAAATGAAATATTGAAAAACTTTTGCGACTACGCGACTGTACGAGGGGGTTGGGGTTCAATTACAGTTTTTACGGTATGTTTTCACATCCGCTTTCTCATTATTTGCACATGGAATAGTTGTGCAGTTCGTGAGTGGGGGTACCGATGGGGAAATGATTATTTAGATAGATATAGATTTAGATAGATTATTTAGATCCAACTGAACTCACCATGCTCTTTCAAAACAAGACACAAACCATCTTGTAGAGAATTTCCATCCTTAATTTTGTTTTGTTTTTATTTTCCATCATATATTTCATCAAAATCAATAGTTAACAAGCCTAAATAAACAAAATAAACAAAAAGTAAAAGATTTAGCTGCAAAAGCAAATGGAACCCAAGCAAAAGGGTGCATTGCTCACTCTTAATACAAACCTCTTATCCACAACTTCACCAAGGGATCTCTTGTCAAATGTCAGTGTATCAGTGAGTGTCAGTGTCAAATAACTAAAAGCATTTTTGCCAAATATCCTGCATTACAGGTCTCGAGGATAAAAACTAAAAACTGCATCGGATTCCCTGTGAAATTCTCTACAAGATGGTTTGACAAGGGAAAGTCAACTGGCTGTGCCAAATGCTATGCAACCTATACCATGTGACACAGAATTTGACGCTGATTCCGAATATCTATTCCGTTTTTTGCTTTTTTGCCAATCAAATCATTGGGGTTTCTGATTTGAGAGATAGTTGTTTCAATTTTTTCAACCCAAACAAAAGCTCAAATCTAGGTGACAAACGTGAACGGACAGCTGAAAATCGGGCAGCGAACCTTTGACAATATGCACGAATTAATCCGTCACTACACAACGCACGCGATCTTCAGCTCGGACACCGAAAAGCTTGAGAGATCCCTTGTGAACTGTTTCTAATTTCGTTTTGAATATATATTCCGTTTTTGTTAAGTGACAGTCTGCCAAGAGTTATAAAGGTCTAAAGTTTTGTTAGAACTCTGAAAATGTGGTTATTTGGCGGCCTCCTTGCGTCTTAATGGCTTCTTGTGAACCAAATTCGGTGCAGCCATGGCTTAGTGGTACGGCGCTGATTTCCAGAGCTAGACGTCGCTCGTTCAACCCCCACCTTGGATTTTTCTTTTTCTTTGCTCAAGAATTGCTGATTAGCGTTTTTCGTGGTGCGTGCGCCCAAGATATTTCTTGTCACACATTTATAAAACTTGTGAGATCTCGTTCTGGAAACGAACGCTTTACCACTCGGCCACTGCTGCATCGAAACTGGTCCGCAAGGAAGCCGCGAAGATGCAAGAAGGCACCCAAGTGACCACATTTTCAGAGTCCTAACAAAACTTTAGACGTTTATAACTCTTGGCAGACTGTCATTTAACAAAAACGGAATATATATTCGAAATCAGCATCAAATTCTGGTTGGTATAGGTTGCATAGCATTTGACCGGCTCAGCCAGTTGACTTTCCCTTGTGAGTCTTGTTTTGAAAGACCATGCTGATGCCTTTCTCTAGTAACAATCTTTAAACTGTTGTAGACGGTACTCTTGTTTTTAGATTACTCACAATCTGATGATCTGTTCTAACCTTTAACCTTTAACCGTACCCCTTAGCCGAAAGTCAGATCAGAGCCAGACTTCTGGCCTTGCGCAGACTGATCTTTGCCTTTGCTCGACTTTGAAACAACCCTGTAACTACTGACTAGCTAAACCAGTAGCTAAACCAGTAGCTAAACCATTTCTTTGACTAGCTAAATCATTTCTTTTAATATCAAAGAATTCATAAAGAAATGAACATCTGATCATCAAAAAATGAACCCAAATCATCAATCATTTTATCAATATCTTTCTATCAATTTTCCGTCAGACGTGGCCGATTTTCCTCTACTCAAAAACCGGATTTGGCAAATCGTTTTTCAAGTTTTTGGATCATGATCTCTATCTCATATCTCTCTTTTGCGTAAAAAAATTGAATGAGTAATACAATTTATAAAGCAAGATGGCACAAAGATGCACTTGAACGCGATTTTTACATATTTCTGGGGATAGAAATTTGAAACGAGGAAATTTGAGGAGGAAGACGTGTGAAGTAGGGGTTTTTTTTGCGGAAAAAAACGACAACAAAAGGAATCACCGTGAAATATACAAATGAAAAATGGAGAGAAACGAGTTGAGCATTTTGAACGAAGCAAAAGATTGGCGGGGCGGGGGTACCACTGAAAAATCACAACTGATTGTTGTGATTTGTTGATAAAATCGAGTTTTTGGTAGTTTTCCTGGGTTTTCGAGAAGGTTGATCACTTGGAAAGTTTACGTAATCATTCCGTAACCATTCCGTGATCATTCCTTCATCTTTTTTCTCTCTCTATTCTATCGAAATTTGATCTATTCATTTCAGCGTTCGATTCATCGAATGATCAAAAGTAAATCTGATAAATTCTGAAATAAAGATTACCTTAGAGTTTCCAAATTCCACCTATTAGAAACACGCGAAAAACACACAATTACATTTGAATCAGATTGAGATTTTGAATAAAAAAGCCAAACTTTCAAAGTAAAAGAAAAAAATTAATGAAGTCAAGTGAATGAAGCCCCAGATTTGAAAAAGTCGAGGTTGTAAGCTGTTTTGAAATAAAAAATGTTACTAATGTTAAGTTTAAGATTAAGATCTGGATCCAGGCTCAACAAGTGCTAGATTCTCGCTAGGAATTCGCTAAATTTCTCCCTCCTTTTATAAAGCCTAAGCAAAAGAAGGTCGAGGGTTCAATCCCTTAGTTAACTCCCTCTGGAGTAAAGGAGGTCAAAAGTGCGTTGTGGTTCAATGGTTAGCACAGTTGCTCGGTAAGCGAAAGGTCGCGGGTTCGAGTCCCGCGAAAGTTTTTGATCTCCCCTAGTTCCAACTGGCGACCACGGAAGGATGGGCTCTGCAATGCTGACTAAGGTCTTCATACCTAGTTTCGAGCACATCCTAGGCCTATAAATGTGGAATCTCGTGCTTTTGCTAGGAGCAAAAGCACAATTTTTAGCCAGTACATTTTGACAGTTTACAAGCTCGATGAATCAATTTTTGAGGAAAGTTCTTTCGATAAGTTAATTTATGAAACGGCAAGGGTTGATTGTATTGCAAAATGATAAAATATCATAAAAATTCTATTGATAATCGAATTTGTATATGGATATCGTTTCGAGAACCTTTCTATCGTTGAGCTGGTTTCCCAAGGCACAGCTTTTCGGTGTCCGAGCTGAAGATCGCGTGCGTTGTGTAGTGACGGATTAATTCGTGCATATTGTCAAAGGTTCGCTGCCCGATTTTCAGCTGTCCATTCACGTTTGTCACCTAGATTTGAGCTTTTGTTTGGGTTGAAAAAATTGAAACAACTATCTCTCAAATCAGAAAACCCAACTATTTGATTGACAAAAAAGCAAAAACGGAATATATATTCGGAATCAGCATCAAATTCTTCATCGAATGGTATAGGTTGCATAGCATTTGACCGGCACAGCTATTTGATCTTCCCTTGTGAACTGTTTCTAATTTCGTTTCGAATATATATTCCGTTTTTTTTAAATGACGCTCTGCCAAGAGTTATCAGCGTCTAAAGTTTTGTTAGGACACTGAAAATGTGGTTATTTGGCGGCCTCCTTGCGTCTTAATGGCCTTCTTGCGACACCACGAAAAACGCTAATCAGCAATTCTTGAGCAAAGAAAAAGAAAAATCCAAGTTGGGAATCGCACTAGCGACGTCTCGCTCTGGAAACCAGTGCCGTACCCCTAAGCCATGGCTGCACCCAATTTGGTTCGCAAGAAGGCCATTAAGACGCAAGGAGGCCGCCAAATGACCACATTTTCAGAGTCCTAACAAAACTTTAGACGCTGATCCGAATATTGCGGACCAAAAAGCTTTTGATCCATATAGACTCATCAGAGTATTTAAAATCAAGTACTGAACTCATATTTTAGCACTGTTTTTCAGCTCAGTGCTAAAATTCAGTAAAATTATCTACTTAATTTGATTCCAGATTCATTCAAAAGATCAATATGACATGATTGAGTTTATTTAAAACATCGCGTACCTTGAAATGTTTGAAGCCTCCAACGCCTCGCATTGTGATTGACAAGTCGCCAGGCTAAAGTGTATTGATATATATAAATATAACCAAGGATCATTGCGGAGAGCGCAATTTCTTCAAATGGGCATTTCTACAAAGGGACATTTCCACAACTCGCTATCAATTGCTTCATTGTTTTTCGATTTTAACGATTTTACTACTGTTTTACAGCCCTCATTAAGAGCTACAAAATAAAATCAAAATTATTGCAATAGGTCTAAATCTAAGAAAAACCCTTTTCCTTATTTTGGCACTATTGCTTATTTTGATTCCATTGTGTAGCTCTCGATGAGCGCTGAAAGACGGTAGTAAAATCGTCAAAATCGGACAACAATGAAGCAAGTTATGGCGAGTTGGGGAAACGCACGTTTGCGAAAATTGGACCCTTCCGATCATTGCTTTGTTTGACTCTTTGAACTGTAAACTGAATACTGTACAAAGGATTATTGTAAAGTAGGTAGGATTATTGCAACCATTAATTAATGCAACCGCCTCAGGGCATTAATGTTATTTCCAACAACTATCTCGACATACTTAAGATCTTCTTCCGTGAGCCAAAAAATCACTTTGGCAACAGGATTTGGTGTTTCATTCAAGATGATGTTTGCGCTCAAAAGGCTCGAGTGATTCAGAACTGACGCAAGCAGTATTTTCTCCGATTTGACGACCTTTAGTGATCACTCTCAAGTCTTAATCCAATGGATTTCAGTGTTTTGAATGTTCTTGAAGCAAAAACGTGCTCAAAACCGCATTCCAACATTGATTCTTTTAAGAAATCTCTTCATAAAGCATGTGATAAACTGGATTCCGTTTACCAATTGGCCATGCATTTCCTAAATGTCATTAGACCTGCATTTCTACCTATAGAGATCTTTTTAAAAGTAGCTTTTTTGTTTAATATATCTTGAAAAATCAATTATTAAAGTTTTTTGAGTTGATTTCTTTCCCGGAGTTTCAGATCGAGCCTGGAAGTAGACTAACGCGAAATATTGGTTTTGGACTAAGTAAAATCCAATATTTTTCCCTTTAAACCACTTCCAGAGTCCCGATCGGTCTGAAACTCGGGGAAATATAACTTTTAATTATTTCATGGTATTTCCTCGAGTTTCAGATCGATCGGGACTCTGGAAGTGATCTAGCGGGAAATATTGGATTTTACTTTTATAGGTTCCTATCCTTAAAAAATATTGCTTACAATAATCCTGCCGCCCTCTGTACGCTTAATATAACCCAATCTCGTAGTCAAATAAAGAAATCTTGTCTTACCTGACTTTCCGAGTCTCTCACAAGGAAATCTCCTTGTGTTGCTCGATCGAGGATCCTCTCGGCTTGTTGTCTTGTGATTGGACCCGAATACCAGGGCTCTTTTGAGTAATCACCAGGATCAGTGGCTTGATAGCTAAAAGATTTGTTAAAATTTCATCAATCATCAGCAAATTCTAGCTTTTACTAACCTTGTATTGTATCCGCCATTGTAGCCACCAGCTTGGGGCAGTGGGGGTGGCGGTGGAACGCTTGATGCGTTTGATTGAAGGACCTGAGATAACGGATAAGTTAATGGATAAGTTCACGTCTATTTATAGCCAGATCACGGCCTTCTATCAATGCTCACCTTTATATAATTCCTTGGCACCAATCCTGACTGCCCAGCTAAGTTCCTGGCCGTCCACCATTCCGGATCGTCTGTTGGATGATCGATGATATCCAGTTGTTCACCTGAACAGTAAAAGGCATACATTTGAATGTAAGGCATTGATTGCAAGGCATTGATTACAAGGCATTCATTGCAAGGCATTGATTTGAATCTATTCTCATAAAGATTTGATGATATAGCCTTCAACCAAGCCATTACCATTGTTCTAACCTTTTCTGAACGACAACTCCTCTCCATTTGATGCCTCAAACGAGTACAATGCGGTCACCACTTCCAGCACCGGTCGATCGCTATTGTATGAGGGAACAGGTCGAGAGTTTTCCGATGTAAATCCATTTCCGTTTGAGCTCGCCGGCGGTTCACTTGCTTCTTCCACGTAGTTAGATGGGAACCAACCGACCCGACCGTTTGACTAAAAGCACCAATGATCAGTTGAATTATCTCAATGATTGGATGAATAAATGCATATTTTTGCATATTCAATCTTTTAATCTTTCACTAAGCTTAAGTTTGTTTTTAAACGTACTTCTCCTTTCCACCATCCATCGCTACTCCTTTCCAACACCTCGATGTAGTCTCCCTTTCTCAGCGGCAACTCATCGTCCATCTTTGGATCATACGCAAATTTGACTAGAGCTCGCGTCATGGTTCCGTTCTAAAAGATAGATCTTTAAACACATTCACGACAAGGTTTTTTTTATTTTTGCGTAAGTTATTTCCCTATTTGATTTCCCTATTTTATTTGGGTACAATCCGGTGATATCCCCTCAAAAATTTGCACTTTATCGTTGAGTCTGGTTCGAGGAAGTCTTGTATTTTCTCAAGCAACGTTTCCGCCGTTAGATCATCAACTTCCGTCAAAAAGTGAAAATAGTACAGTATTTGAGGTTTTTGAGCACATTTACTGGAATATAAGCGGATTGATGCATGGATGTTTTAGATAGTTTTTAAAAAAGCAAATTTTTGGGGGATAGAACCGGAGAGTACTTTTATTTGATTCTTGCAGCTCGTCTAAGATCGTTCTTTTCCTAAGTTAAAGGTCAAAATGAAGAGAAACGTTTGAGGATCATTTATAGATAAATAGATTAAAGAGATATTGAGTTTGAAGAAAGTTATGAATTTTAAATGCATGCTAATTCCCGGGTCACCTGTGGGCTAGGAAATTTCTCATGTTAAAACATTCTGAACACTCTTTAAATTCAATATTTCTTTAATCTGTTTTCCGATAAATGATTCGTGAAGATTTCTCTTTATTTTGACCTTTAACTTAAGTAAATCGGTTAGCTGTGAACGTTTTTAGAGGAGCTGGAAATAACTTACGATTTACAAAATGCATATAAAATTACAGGCAACCGATTTACCGAAGTTAGGGATCAAATTGAAGAGAAATGTTTGAGGATTATTTATCTGAAAAGAGATTAAAGAAATATTGACTTTGAAGAGAGTTATAAACCTTTGAATACAAATTAATCCCCGAATCACCGAATCCGAATCATTAACTCCCTGCTAAAACATTCTGAACTTCCTTCAAACTCAATATTTCTTTAAACTCTTTTCAGATAAATGATCTTCAAAGCTTTCTCTTTATTTTGACCTTTAACTTAAGTAAATTGGTTACTTGTCAACGTTTTTAGAGGAGCTGGAAGGGAAATAACTTACGCAAAAATCATAAAACCTTGTCGTGAATTTGTTAAGATTAGGAGAAGGTTCTTTTACAGCAGACTAATCTTGCTATTAAATATATTAGTTCTTTCAACAACTCACTTTTGAAAAAGCGGGCGATGCAGCGAATTGATATCCGTTTGTTTTATTGTTATTCGATTGCAATATCCGTTCGTCTCCCGAATAGGCGGCCGGGGACTCCTCCTAAAATCTTTCTTTTATCATCAATATTAAAAGTCACATAAACCAGAAAAGCGTTAACCCATTATATACAATTATTCTATCACGATTGTGCAAGGTAAACCCGAAAAGAGAGAAAAAAAAAGACAATAATGAATAGAGAACAGTGCAAATCAAAAGGTACATTAAAGTAACATCACAAAAATGAATAAGAATCGCTAGTGACAGTTTTGGAACAATAAAAAACCAAAAAGACTAAGCATGGTATTCATAAATTCTTTCTGTCCGTCCTTTCTTCATAAACCTAAGAAACGTTCTAAGAAACGAGTTGGATTGAGAGAAAGTTATCTAGATAGCTAGCTAAAAACAACAATGTTTCAATGAATGAATTCTTTCTGCTATTAGAGCTGACACACTTTCTAAAGGTCGGTGCACCAGAAGGAGTGCTTTTCTACTTCTAACCAGGTCAAGGTAGTCTTTTTGATACATGTATTTGATAGAGCTTTTAAATGGGGATTCTGAATCCGCTTTTAGTTTTTCTGATGAAGCTCTGTATCGCAAGATATCTTGCATTAAAGTTTAGATCGGTTTTTGGAAGCTGTTGTAGGTTAAAATCAAAAAGTCTACCTTGACCTGGCGCCTTTTCCTAGTAAGAACAAAAGTAAGTACAAAGTAAACTCTAAGGAACCAGTAGGATTAAAAGAAAGCTATAAAAAGCTAAAGTGTTATCGCTTTTACAAAATAAACGGATTCTTCCAACTTTTCGTACTCTTGAATTGCTCCTTTAGAGTCGCTGTCTTGAAAACGCCAAGTGTTTTCCCGAAATCATTTCCATACCAAACCAGCAACTCCTCATCGATTTTTATGTGCCGAAAAACACGATAGAAAATCGATCCACAATACTGGAAAGCAATTAGATTCTGTTCTTGTTCATTTCTCGCACTGTTCACATAACGGACCCAATTCGAGTGCTTTTGATTGCTTCCATCAATGAAAAACGCTTTCGCTTGTTCCAAAATTTCCCAAGAATATCCAGCTAGATCAGCTTCTTCTTTATCTTCCAATAGTACTCCTTGATATGGTCCAAAAACGATTCCAATCGGCAGTTCAGCTGTCGTGAAAATTCCATGACCAGCATCAGGAATTTTCGAAATCCGGATTTTCAAGAATGGTGGAATCGTTAAATTGCATCGATCAGGCGCATTCTCTTTGTCTTCTTTCAGCTCCTTGTCTGGACACCAATATAGCGGATGTTTACGACAAAATGGGTATTTAAATTGATCACACTGTGAACAGTGAATGTATTGATCCGAGTTTTGATCATCCATCGATCGTTCATCGTCCAATAATGACATCAAATGATCGGGCACATCTTCTAGTACAATGTAACGTGGTTTCGTTGGTGTAGCGAGATCTTTGGAGATGATTTGAATGCTGACATCAGTGAGATCGATCACGAAACAGTGGGTCATATGGCGAGAAGCTGAAAATAGAGATAATTAGTTTGATTTAAACAAAATGAAAAGAAAATGAAAACAAAATGCGAATAAGGAACGAACAAAAAGGAGTTTTATGGGGGTGGGACAAATGTGACCTTTTTTTTGCGCACCTGGACATTTGGGCACCTTTATTCGCTGAAAAAGGCCTTAGGAAAGGTCGTAGAGCTTCAAAAATGTTCCATGTAAGGGAATCGTATGCGTAGATTCCGAATTTCGACAAATCAGACCTCGCAGACACGTCAAATTTGTCAAAATTCTGAATCTACGCATACGATTCCCTTCTATGAAAACGTGTTTGAAGCTCTACGACTTTTCCTAAGGCCTTTTCCAGCAAAAAAAAAAGATGCGCAAATGTCCAGGTGCGCAAAAAAAGGTCGCATTTGTCCCACCCCCAGTTTTATGAATTGATCAACCATTTTCAAGTAATCTTTTCAAAAAGCTTTACAAAGTTAGCAAATTAGGAAGCTTTTAAAGAAATAAAAGATTAAAAAGACTGAACAATGATTGATAAATTCTAAAAATGAATATTAGCTTTGAATTTCTTCGTTTTAAAAAGATTTCAAAGAGTTTAAGTGCTAGAATTTCAAAATTCTAAGGCTAAACTCAAAGTTTTATCGAAATGTCAAAAGTTATAGCAAATTTTGAAATAATTTATCAGTTTAGCGAGTGTTATAGAAGATTTTTAGATAAGTTTATCAAAGTTTTAACGATACAAGAGCTAAGATTAGAATTTAAATAACAAGCAAACTAGCAAACTTTAAAACCGTTAAAAGTATCCCAGTAAACCAGCAGGGTTTTATAAAAAGTATCCTAGATGGAAAAGATTTGATGAATCATATAAAAAGATTAGGAAATCTTTCGCTCTCGCTCTAGCTACTAAATCCTGTAATCAAAGTAAAGCAAAGAATGGTAGAGAAAGATTTCTGGAAAGGGGATTGAGTCCTCAACCTTTTTGCCTCGATCTTGTTGCTTTCCTGATGCCACTGAGCCATAGTTTTTAAAAAGCAAATTTTTGGGGGATAGAACCGGAGAGTACTTTTATTTGATTCTTCCAGCTCGTCTAAGATAGTTCTTTTACTAAGTTAAAGGTTAAAATGAAGAGAAACGTTAGCCACTGAGCTATTCGGTACCTTGCCAGAGTGGAAAGAGGAAATACAAGGGGGAAGAGAAAGGAAAAAAGATCCGGATCCGGACATCCCTGACCCCAGACCTAAAAATCGAGACGTGTGAAACTCGTCCAGAGAGGAGGGAAATTAACTCCGTTTGAAGTAAAGGAGATAATGCACGTTCTGGTTAGCAGGATTGCGAAATCGGTAAACGAAAGGTCGCGGGTTCGAGTCCCGGCGGCGCACAATTTGCCCTAGTTTCCAATTCAACTAAGGAATTGGAAAAGTTCAAAAGAGGAGTTAACTCCCTTTGAAGTAAGGGAGATAATGCGCGTTATGGTGTTAGCAGGATTGCTCGTTAAGCAAAAGGTCGCGGGTTCGAGTCCCGGCGGCGCACAATCTTCCTTCCAACTAAGGAATTGGTCAAACTCAGCTAAAATTATATAAAAAGATTAGAAGATTCCGATAAACACTAATTCCTATAATCAAGATAAAAGTGGTTGAAGAGGGGGATTGAAGAGTGACTGAACACCATTGAGGACTGGCAAAAGGGGCAAAGGGAATGCAGAGGAAAGAGGGGAAGAAAGGTGAATCAATAGTTGCATGCATTCCCCATCCCAACCCCTCTCCCTTCACATGCACAATGACAAACAAATGCTTCGGGCGTACACTTTTTATGTGTTGGCAGAGATTTCAAAATATTTTCTTCAAAATTTTCTTCTAGCGAATTAACAACAAAATAGTGCTGGAAGAACTAGTGAATTTATCTAGTTGTAGTGGTTTTTTAAAGCGTTTAGTTAGAAAATAGAAAATTTTTCGATTAAAGCAAAGAAAAGATGCAATGCTTGGTGTTTAATGGGTAAAATGAAGGTCTAGAACTAAACATGGCTTGAATTTTATATGAAAACAATAGAATCGACATTGATAGAATAATAAAATTGACACTGTTAGAACCGTAGAACTAAGAATAGTAGAAATTCTATTGATAGAATAGTAGAAAGTCCGTTGCTTTTTAAACAAAATCATAATAGAATAGTAGAACCGTTGCTTTTTAAAGAAAGTCATAAACAAACTTTAAAAACTTTTCTTAAAGACTACTATAAGCCTTGAACAGAAGCAGTCTTGTATTTCAGACTGACTTTCTAAAGGCTCAGAGTTGAAGAATTTTTGGTCTAAATGGTTTAGAAACATCATTGGATCTGCTACTAAGATCCAAGACCGTACCCAGAAATAAGTTTCAGATCAAGGCTGGTTTAAAGGCCAAAATGAACAGATACCTATCACTAGACATGTTAACTCCGCCCCTTTTTCAGTCCGTTTGCCATTGGCAATCTATTTTGCTCGTTTCTTAGTTGGGTTTGTTTGAAGTTTTTGTTTGAAAGGTTGAATTTTCTTTCATTTGATAGAAAAATTGATTTCTTTTGCTTTCATTCGATAAAGATTTGATTTCTTTTGCTTTCATTCGACTCGAAATCAAATTTTCTATCGAATGAAAGCAAATTCAACGTTTTTCAAACAAACTCAACTAAGATACAAGGAAAATTCGTAGATTGCCAATGGCAAACGGATCGAAAAAGAGGCGGATGCTTGTCTATTGTTTTTATGACAGATTTCGAAGGAGCAAGTGCTTGCCTTGCTTTTTGCTTGACACTTGCCTGGTAAGAGTTATGACAAAGATATAAAAGACAAAGATCAAACAGAATACTTAATAACATATCGCTGACCACAGCCCAGCGATATGTTGGGCGTATTATTTGTGGAGGGGCTGTGAGGGGGGAAGATAAGGGAGAAGTCATCCCGAAGAGAGAGCTGAAAGAGTCGAAGGACCGGCCAGTCTCTGGTTGAAGGAGAAAGGGGAGTCAAAAGAAGAGATTCCCCGGGCATAGCATTTCCGAATAAGCCGGCTCATGCCACGAGACAACCCAGTCTCTTTTCCCCCATTCAGTCGAAAAGTAAGATGGGGAACTTGTGAGCTTTGGAGTGGGGAAGTTTGAGGAGAGTTCGAGGAGAGTTTGAGGAGGCATTGATTGACATTGACTCGATGTATCACTTTGATATTTGTATCGATTGATTGTAAAGCTCAAGTTCCGTGTACTAGTACAGTGATCGAATAGGAATGTACTGTACAGTCAGTACTGTACTGTACAATCAGTACATTCTCTATGTACTGTACAGTCAGTACATTCTCTCGTTAAGTTAAAAATGATACACTTTTTCAATCAAGCATCTCAAAATGTAAACAACTCGGAATTCATCGCTGATAAGTGATATGAATCGAGGGAAATTATTGCTCTGGGCTGCGCTGGGCATTCACTACAGGTTGCTTTGCTAAAATTTCCATCAAATTCCTCTCTTAAATGCAAATTGGGCGGCGGTTGTAAATTTTAAAGTCGAATAACTCGGCGGGAAAGGACGTTTTTTACAAACGAACGGAAGAGAAAGTTGCAAAAAGGTTGATAAGAAGACATTGTTTTAGCTAGGTAACCAATTTATCAACTAAATATTTAAATAGATATTGTAAAGCTTTAGTCTACTGTGCCTAGGGACAAGAAAAATGCACAAAATATATTTAGGGCTTAGCAATGGAATACTTTTATTCCTACAGACTGTACCTAGACAAGACTGAGAGTTTACAAAAATCAGAATCAAAAACTTCCAAGAAAAAATCAGCAAAACAAAGGGTAGACAAAAAGGATTTTGTTAATAAAATAAAAATATATCAAAGCAGACAGTTGAAGCAGACAGTTTTACAAGAAAACTGTCTGCTAACAGAACAGATGTCCAATTTTCTTGCATCAAAAAGCTTTCAAAGCTTTCAAAGCTTTCATATGAAAATCCAGTGTTCAAGAGAATTCTGAAACTTGGTTCAAGTGGTAGATTCTCAATGACAGATCAACAATAATTGTCAACAATGTCAACGATGTTCCAATGACAGATCTACAAAAAAAATTAGTCTAAAAAGTTTTACAAAAAAAACTGTCTGCTAACAGAAAAAGATGTCCAAAAATCAAGAGAATCAAAAATCAATAGGAAACAATTTTGACAGTTTTAAAGATTTAAAATAGCTAATGATTTCAAAGCTTAAAGGCTATGAAGCTTTAAGGCTATGAAGCTTAAAGTCTATGAAGCTTAAAGTCTATGAAGCTTAAAGGCTATAAAGCTTAAAGGCTATGAAGCTTAAAGTCTATGAAGCAATTAAATGGCGATGATGGTCATCTTTTCAAATGAGGGAGAAAAAGCTGGGGGTTGAAGTGAAAGGAATGGAGGGGAGTGACGCGTGCAAACGGTCGGCCGGTACAGTGTGGAATGGGGAAAAGGGGGCACGATGGGTGTCAAGATATCGATGGGAAAAGATGGGAAAAAGCTTTTCTTTCCAATGCTTTCAACTAGCTTCCACCTTTGTTTTAGTGAACCAACGTTTTCTGGGTAGCATTGTGGGTTCTGAATGTTCGTGAAAAGGTTCAAAGAAAGAAGCCAGAGATGTTTTACAGAGTATTGTTTGAACTACTTTACTTCACAGAATGATAGACGCATTCCTGAGTTTTGCAGAAACACGATTTCGAAGTTTTAACCAAAGTTGCCATTTTCAAAGTTGTAACAGTGAAAAGTTGTCATTTTTCGGATCATCGGGAGGGGAAGGGGGGCAGTTCAATCTCGGGAGGCGGGGGAAGATTCGCCAGAGGTTTAGGGCGGCCCAAAGTCCTCTAGCCAACTGACATTGGTATATTTTAGATAGATCTTATTCAGGGCTACATTTCTATACCAATGTCAGTTGGCTAGAGGTCTTTGGGGTCGCCCCTTGAACCTCTAAAATCTATACCAAAATCTAGCCCCCTGATACTATAGTTGATCCCATTTTTCAAGGATCATCCCGTCACTTCCTCCCAAGTTTAATGCTTTCTTTTCCCTAGTGTTTTTCTTGCTAATGCTTATAGAATTGACTTTAATAGCTCGCTTAGCCACTTTCTAGATGATTAGCTAGTTTCTAAACGCTTAGCTAGTTTCTAGACGCTTAGCTACTTTCCAGACTCGTGCAAAATCTTATTCGTTTTTTCTATTACTGAGACGAACGTGGAATTTTGCCTTTTTGGCTTAGCTTTTGGCCTTTTTGACGCCGGAATCGCAATAAAAGTTAGATTTTTATGCAGGATGGCATTTCGATTCACAGGAATGTTTGCAACTCAAGAGAATCTCACTTCTCTCCTAACCGGTGTGTTCTCCTGACTTAAACGTTATCGAAAACCTATGAGCATTTATGGTTCGCGAAATTTACGACGGAAACAAGACGTTGATGAGCTCAAGCTTGCCATTATCGACACTTGGCACCGGGTCGAACAGAAATTGCTTGATAACCTTTTCCGCAGCTTGGATAATCAAGTTTTTCAGCTAATTCAGTGGAATGGGAATGCTACTGATTATTGAATTAGAAATTGTTGCTCAATTATTGTCAGCGAGTGACTCGAGTCAGCGATTGTCTCAACGAGTGACTCGAGCTAACCGATGTCCATTGATAGTTCTGTGCGCTGAGCACGGTACAGTTAGCTGTATCCGTTGAATGTAGAAGATGTTTATTGCTTATTTTTCTATCTTTTTCAACCAATCTGGGTCAGTTTCTAAGCAAATTTGAGTCCAAATAATGCTTAAATCAAAACAATTTGCTATTTAAATAATAGATTGCTATTTAAATAATTCTAGGAAAACAATTCACGGGATTCACAATAGATCAAAGTGTTACAAAGAAAACAAAAGAAAAGTCAAGCTGTTACAATCTAGCGATATAACAAGTGAATAATGTTTTAAAGTAACGTTTTAAACCAACGTTTTTCACGATAAAGACTTAGTTTAACGTTTTGATACTGTAAAAACACCCACCGAACTGAAATCACTTTTGCTTCTCCCCCTCACGAGGTCCTTCATTGTGCCCATCGCTTTGTCGACAAAGGATTCTCGTCGAACGTAATTTGAAGGGATAAAGCCGACCCGATTTGCATCATTCACTACCTGAAAAATTGCTTTTAAACAAGTTTCACTCTGCAAAAATTGATTTAAACAATTTTACAGCCAAATCAGTCACGTTAGTTTCGTCTTTGTTTGAATAAAGTTGAAAAAGCACTTTGAAGAATCATTTTGAATAAGTTGCTTTAGTTTTCACAAGCTGCACAAGCTGCACAAGCTTTACAAGCTTCACAAGTTGCACAAGCTTCACAAGTTGCACAAGCTTCACAAGCGTCACCGGCGCACAAGCTTCACAAGTTGCACAAGCTGCACAAGCTTCACAAGCTTCAAATTATAACAGAAACACTCAACCTCTTGCAACTCTCAGCTTTTCCCTTTTCAACCAACCTTCCACCAATTCTTTGAGTCATCCAACAGCTTCAACCTCTCATTTTTCTTTATCGTCAACTCTTGATCTTCTTGAGCGATGTAATCGTATTTCACGACAACCACGTCGTGCACCACCACGTTCATCTACAATTTAACGTGTTATACTTTTAGCAATAAGATTATCAATAAGATTTAAAAAGGAAGCACAAATGCATCAAAAAAAAAGTTTACGTTATGCTAAATATGATTAGTTTTTGATATAGATAGATATTCAAGAAATGAAGTAAAATGAAAAAGTTTTTTCAATACATAGAGGTAGTAAAACATTAAGAAACATTAATTAATGGCGAACAAAGATTACAAGATTACAGAATAAATGAAATCCAATCCATTACCGACAAGAGAGTAGTGGGCTAGGTTTCTTTTACCAAAAGCAAGGCATACTTTTAATCCAATTTCTGATTGAATTCAGAATAGAAAGCCTAGAAAAAGAACAAAGAAAAAGAACAAAGAAAAAGAACAAATAAAAAACAAAAATTTAAACGATTTTAAAACTTTTCAAACGTCAAACTTCAAGAAGATTTAATTAGATTTAATTTCCGAAAAAGGAAAAAAGGAAATCAAGCAAAAAAAGGAAAAAAGAAAACAATTACTTTCCCGGTGTGTGAAATTTCTAATCCATACTCGTTAGGGATGAAAAAAAAGGGAAAAGAGCACACACAAAGCTCTGTGGAAAACATATGCACCCCGGGGGGCTTTTCACTCAGTAAATGGGGGCTTAGATAGGCAAAAAAAAGGAGGAAAAGTGCAAAAAAAAGAGAAGAGCGATGAAAAGAGGAATGGAATTTGGGGAAAGGATGAGATGGTGAAAAGATCGAACAGACTGGCGATGAAGAGACTGAAGAAGGAGGAGGGCAGAAGAGCCCTTGACTTTGTGTTGCTCCTCTTTCCTTTCTTTCACTCTTCCCACAATTTTACTCAAAAGAAAACAGAACAACAAAGTAAAGAAAATAAACAAAACAAGATTTGTAATGAGTAGTTGGATAATTTAAACACTTAGATATTCGAGAACTAACGGGAAAAAGCTTTGAAGAATCGCATAAATTGGAAAAACAGATACAAGATAGGAAATCATCTAAAAAAGCTCTCCATATTACATAATATCTTTAAAGATCTTCTCCATTCTCTTTAAAGATCTTCTCCATTCAATCAATTTTAACTATGCAGTTTAAAGGGATTATTGGACATTTGATGCCTTTTGCCCTTCTCCCATTAGCAATCGGACTTTGAGCTCAAATTTCTTGGGGTTGAGCTGTTGAATTTCAATATTCTTGGTATCATTGGATGCACCAAATCTTTCTCTGTCGATTAGTACAAAAACTATTTAAATTGGACAACCCAACACCAAGAAATTCGAGCTCAAAGTTCGATTGCTGATGGGAAAAGGGGCGGGGCGCGTATAAAAGGAACGCCCCGCCCCTTTGCCATTGGCAATACCAAATGTCCCACAATCGTTTAAAGAATTGAAGATTATACTTGAAACTTAAAAGATTTATGACTTCAAACAATACTCATACGAGAATAAACCTATCTGTAAGTTCTAAAATTGCACTAAACATTTGTAGGTTTTAGTTTAAGTTATTCGATTCGATCCAAGAATAGGATTGCCTCAAAGGATTGGCTTAAAGGGATTGGCTCAAAAGGATTGGCTCAAAAGGTTTGGCTCAAAGGAATTGGCTCAAAGGGATTGGCTCAAAAGGATTGGCTCAAAAGGATTGGCTCAAAGGGATTGGCTCAAAAGGATTGGCTCAAAGGGATTGGCTTAAAGGGATTGGCTCAAAGGGATTGACTCAAAGGGATTGGCTCAAAAGGATTGGCTCAAAAGGATTGGCTCAAAGGGATTGGCTCAAAGGGATTGGCTTAAAGGGATTGGCTTAAAGGGATTGGCTCAAAAGGATTGGCTCAAAGGAATTGGCTCAAAAGGATTGGCTCAAAAGGATTGGCTGCAGTTGTAAAGGATTAGTACTTTTATGAGCTACTTGTTAACCTTTTGAACAAATAACTTTTTGGACATTAATTCCATAATTGGAAAAGAAAAGATGGATAAGGAAAATAAACTTTTGAAAAACATAGCTTTGGTAGAAAAGTAGTGGTATGTATAAAAGCAAAAGTCTGGCTTATTTCACTAAAATACGATCAATTAAAAAGCCGATCCAGAGCCGGCGTTCGGGACATAATTTCAAAGGAAAAAAAAAAGAGTATCGCTGGCTCAAATTTTATATAAAAAACTTCTGGATTTATCTGAAAAAAAGAGTAGAAAAAAAGAGTAGAAAAAGAGTAGAAAAAAGAGTAGAAGTAAAGGACGAACAGCTGTTTTCGTACTAGACTATTTCGAAATGAAGTGAAATGGGAGTGGCTCTCACGTTCTTTTCCCCTTGATTCCCCTCCTTCATCTCCCCATCGGCGCTTCTTATTTCCCCTCTGGGAGCCACTCCCCGGCTCTGCCATGCGTAATCCTGTAAGCGGCATCGAGTGGCTGAGATTTGAAAAGTTACTTTTTCTTTCTACTAACTTTAGTTTTTAGTACTCTTTTACTTTGTTTTTACTAAAAAAAACTCTTTTATTTTGTTTAGAGAACTCTCACTTAAACGAAAAACACAAAGCACCGTCAGTCTGTCAAGTTCAACGATATAGATCAAGAGAAAAAGCCGATTGTAGAAAAAAGGATTGCGTTTAGCAAAGAGGCATTGAAAAATGATAGATGAGTAACAATAATAAAAACAATTCACTGTTTAAAAGACTTTGTTAGTATTGGATTGGGGAAAACTGAAAACCGCGGGACTTTGAACTAAAATTTATTCAACATAAAACCATCAATTCATTCCAAATAATTTCCATTATTATTGACGACTTCTGCTCATTTTACAGGCAATTTGCAGATTCCTCTTTCGTAGTAGGATTTTGGTTTGTGTGTGAGACAAGTGTGAGACTCAAAAATCGAGGACTGGAGATGGAGACTGGACTCCCAGTTTGAGCACTTTCTTCAAAAGAAACCCATTTTGGTGTCAATAGAAAAGTTGTAGAGAATCAAAAATTAGGCTTATAGCCAAATTTCCATAAAGATACACTTAGTAGTTTCGTTTAAAATGCTTTGTGAAAATTCGTGAAAGTTTCGCTTTGTGAAAATTCGTAAATTTCGCATTTCTTGAAAACCAGTTTTTGAATCGTTCTGAAAATTTGGATATAAACTTGCTTTTTGATTCTCTACAACTTTTCCATTGACACCAAAATGGGTTTCTTTTGAAGAAAGTGCTCAAACTGTGGCATATGACGATAGCCGGCAGTTTTCAATTCACCAACCCAATACTTTACAAGAGTTGGTATTAGACGATCAGAGTTTGTAAAGTAAACATTAACATTACAATTTTAGATTGAAAAAGAAAAAAGAAAAAAGGATTTAGTAAAGAAAGAAGACTTGGAAGGAAATCGAAGTATTAACTTGCTTTTTGGAAAAATTATTTCCAACTCCCATGCTCCAACCTTCCAACTGCCAAAAGAAAGAAGAAAATAGAAAACAAACTTTTAGTTCATAGTTATTTACTTATTTATTAGTTCCTTAGTTTAATTCATAGCTATTTATAGGTTTATCCAACACTAATTCCACACAAAATCCCAGACAAAATCCCAGAGAAAGACTCCAAGAGATCCCAGAGAAAAATCATAGAATCCAAGAGAGGAAATTGAGAACACCGTCATCAAAAGGAGCCCATTCTATTCAAAAAAAAAAGATTCTTCTTTATGTGTGACTCTCCTCAAATTCCCCTCTCAGATTTTCGTGTCTGAATCCCCTGGAGACTCACACGTTCCTTTCGTTTTTCTCTGTGTTTCTTTCTTCAAAAATTCCATTTTTCTTGCGGAACAGCAGTTCAGTCTTTCTATTTTACTCGAAAATGTACTTTTTTTCTGAGATTTCGAAATTTGGCTTTAGAAAAGTATCTAGAAAGGCAACGGAAATTGAATTGACTAAAAACAAATTAAAGAATACAATTGTACTTCAGGGTAAATCAAGGAGAAGTACATCAAGGACAGCAATGACATCAAAAAGTACAACAAGGAGGAGAATTGATTCGAAATTGGAAACAAATTGGAACCTAACTCAAATTGGAACCGAATTGGAAACGAATTGGTACCGAATTGGAACCTAATCGGAACTCAACTGGAGCCTAATCGGAACCGACTCGAAACCTAACTCAAATTGGAACGGAATTGAAACCAACTCCAATTGGAACCGAATCGAAACCTAATCGGAACCGAATTGGAACCGAATTGGAACCTAATCGGAACTCAATTCGAGCCTAATCGGAACCGAATTGGAAACGAACTGGAGCCTAATCGGAACCGACTCCAATTGGAACGGAATTGGAACCTAATCGGAACCGAAGTGGAACCTAATTGGAACTGAAGTGGAACCTAATCGGAACTGAAGTGGAACCTAATCGGAACCGAAGTGGAACCTAATCAGAACTGAAGTGGAATCTAATCAGAACTGAAGTGGAATCTAATCGGAACTCAATTGGAACCTAATCGGAACCGAAGTGGAACCTAATCAGAACTGAAGTGGAATCTAATCGGAACTCAATTGGAACCTAATCGGAACTGAAGTGGAACCTAATCGGAACCGAAGTGGAACCTAATCAGAACTGAAGTGGAATCTAATCGGAACTCAATTGGAACCTAATCGGAACTGAAGTGGAACCTAATCGGAACCGAAGTGGAACCTAATCAGAACTGAAGTGGAATCTAATCGGAACTCAATTGGAACCTAATCGGAACTGAAGTGGAACCTAATCGAAACCGAATTGGAACTGAAGTGGAATTTAATCGGAACTGAATCGGAACTCAATTCGAGCCTAATCGAAACCGAATTGGAACCGAATCGGAACTGAAGTGAAACCTAATCGAAACCGAATTGGAACGGAATTGGAACCTAATCGGAACCGAATTAAAACAGAATTAATTCAACTTTTGAAATATTTGGGTTAAGTTCGGCTTAGCAGATTTTGTTTTATTTTTTTAAATCTGGTACTATCCTGTTATACATCCCCGTTGTTATACATCCCCAATTTCGATTGCTTTAAGCATCA